AATTTAGAAGTCTTTTAAAGTAAGTTTTAGTCTTTTAGGCTTTAGTCTTTTAGTCTTTCAGTCTTTAGTCTTTTAGTCTTTCAGTCTTTAGTCTTTAGTCTTGTAGTCTTGTAGTCTTGTAGTCTTTAGTCTTTCAGTCTTCAGTCTTTTAGTCTTTAGCCTTTAGTCTTTAGTCTTGTAGTCTTGTAGTCTTTAGTCTTTCAGTCTTTAGTCTTTTAGTCTTGTAGTCTTTAGTCTTTCAGTCTTGTAGTCTTTAGTCTTTCAGTCTTTCAGTCTTTCAGTCTTTAGTCTTTAGTCTTGTAGTCTTGTAGTCTTTAGTCTTTTAGTCTTTAATCTTTTAGTCTTTAGACGACGAAGTCCAGAAAAAGTGTTTAGAAACTTTTGTATGCTAATTTTTTAAGTGCCTTTTGTATGCCAGGCCAGAGCTAAGCTCCTGGATCTTTGAAGTATTGAAAAGTCCGGCTTTTCCTGAATACCATGGGATTTTTATTTACACTTTATTTACACTTTATTTACATTTTATTTATTTTATTTATTTTATTTAACAATTGGATGAGCCACTCTAGATGTAGAAAGAAAAAGCTGCTTTGTAGTGATTTTGAGTGTCTTCTTTTCGTGGTGTCAATGAGAGATCTCTACTCGTAAATGCATGAAACAATGGGAATCCTCTTGAAAAGAGTCCTATAATATCACAAAAAATTTTTAGACAATGTTTAAGGATTCGTAAATTCTCTAGTACAATTTCTTTAGTACAAGTTCTATAGTACAATTTCTCTAGTACAATTTCTTTAGTATTCATAAGTTCTCTACCGTAAACACTGTAATAGTACCCCACCCCCATAATGACGGTGCGGAGTGTTGTGTAGTCTAGCTTTGAACGCGTTTTTCTCGACACTGGTTTATGCTACAATGTTCGTTTTGGTTTCAAAAAATAGCCCTGAATTTCAGCTATTTTTTGATACCAAAGACGCATTTTTTCAAAGTACGGGCGCTTTGAAAAAAATGAAACACGAAAAAACTTTTGCGACTACGCGACTGTACGAGGGGGTGAGGTACTATTACAGTATTTACGGTAGTTATTTCTTGGTTTCCTTGATCAAGTCGATTACGATTTTTTTAAATGTAAACCTTAATTTTAATGTACCTTAATTTTAATGTAAATCTAACAACAATAATTATAACTTTTCAGTGCGAAAATGAGAACTCTGGAGAAAATACGTTCAAGGGATCTCATTCAAATCGATGATGGTGAAGAGGGAACGTCGAAATTGATACCGGTTAAGGTGAGAGTTTTGATTGAAATAAAAAGAGAACCAAGAACAGAATTACGAAAGCGTAGCAAACTCGACAAATAGGGTTACCATGTTTCTTTCGATCGGCTTGTTCTCTAGCACCTGTCAACTCTTTGTCAACTCGATCGGCTTGTTCTCTATCCTTAACTATCTGAATTTGGTTCCTTATCCGTATCTGTCAACTCTTTCGATCACCATAATCTTGCCTCTAGATTTAGTGCTCTAGATTTAGCGTACTTGTTTCTGATTTAGCGTACTGCTTCCTTGAAGTTTTTTCAAGTTAAGTTTATGCTGAATTCAAGAATAAGCTTATGCTGAATCCATCTATTAGGTTGGCGGGAAAATAATGCGAATTTTTTAACTTGTGCTCTTGCGACATAATGGGGATAATGGATAATGGGGGACAAACAGAGAAAACCGCGATAGTAGCAGAGAAGCAGAGTGTGTTTGCTTACACAATCATAATATTATTCGAAAACATTTGTTTATTTGTTATCAAAAAACGACGGAACAAAAATTCGTTATTCGAGCTGCGGACTTCGAGCCTTACTCTGACTTTAAGCTTGGAAAATCCGCCCGAGAATCGCATAATTCTATTTCAAAGGCGTATGGTGAAGGTAGTATTAGCGAAAGCCAATGCTATCGATGGTTTGAGCGATTTCGAAGTGGAGACGAGAGCCTAGAAGATGAGCATCACAAAGGATGAGCTGGATCCTCGAAAGCTGGATGAGCTGGATCCTCAAAAGCTGGATGAGCTGGATCCTCAAAAGCTGGATGAGCTGGATCCTCGAAAGTTGGATGGGCTGGATCCTCGAAAGCTGGATGAGTCTCAACTTTTGCAAATAATCGAAGAAGATCTCACTTGCACCATTCGGGAGTTGTCGGAAATGTTCAATGTTCAGCATAGCACCATTGAAGAGCATTTATATTTGATTGGAAAGCGAAACAGATGCGGAAAATGGGTCCCACATGAACTGACCCTCAATCACAAAATTGCCCGTATGAACACTTGTTCAATTTTGATTCAAAAATCAAAAGCGCACGATTTTTGGAAATCGATTGTTACTTCTGATGAAACGTGGATATTATATGATAACGTTAAGCGCAAGCACCAATGGTTATCACCAAGGAAGTACCTTAAGCCGAAGAAGATTTCAGGCTTAGGCTTAGGCTTAGGCTTAGGGCAGTAGTTCGTACTGCTGCCGTAAGCCGTACCGCTTTGGGCAGAGTGAACTTGATCACTTCGACAAACGATGAATAACGACAAACGATGGATTAGGAAATGAGAACTTGTTGGTGAAATTATGACGAACCTCTCAATTCCGATTAAAGACAATAAAGTTCGAAAATAAAATAGAGCTTGAGCTAAAGTTTTGCTCCTATTTTGTCGTTCAGTTTGTACGCTCCTTTGAGTTTGTACTTAACTTTTACTTAAGTGAGCTTTCTTGCAGAATGCTTTCTTGCAGAAAGTGCTAAAATATCCAGCACAAGTTTGCTAAAATATCCATCCACAATACTTTAGCTCGTTTTGCTGCCACAGTTTGCCGAAATTTTCTCTACAAGATCCACTCCTTAGCTACTTGCATTTAAAATTAGACTTTAGAGTGAATTTCTCTTTGAAAAGTTGGCACGCGAATGCAAAAAAGCGTAGTTTTTTTCTCGATTTTACCCACCAGGCATCTAAATTTTCTTTAACCCATCGTTTTGCCACCCAAAACACCACTTGTCCCCAAGCAAAGATTGTCATAAAATGAGAGCTGAAATGAGCAATTTCTCGGTCGCAAAAGCGATGTCATTGTCTCTCGGTTTCCCCTCGAAACTTCTTCTTTTTGCCCTTTTCTTTAATGAACACCTGACCCAATCCATATTGGAGTCACTGGGTGATCTATCAACATACACACAGCTTCTCAAAGAGGAATCTCAAAGAGGCTTCTCAAAGAGGAATCTCAAACAGAAATCTCTTTTGATTTCAATATCACATTGCAAAAACCTCCAATGGTTGGTTGATTTTGGTTGCTTTTGGTTGTTTTTGGTTGTTCTTTTGTTTATCTATCCCTTCATTGTTCACTTTATGCTTAAATCTGTAAACAAACCCTTTCTAGTGCATTGGCTTCTTTATTAAAACCAAGCATTGCATTGAAAATCAAGAATTCAGTTTCAATTCAAGAAACCAGAAAAGATGCATTTACAGATTTAAGCATAAAGTACATCATGAAGTGTTTTTTTTATAGTTTATAGCTTCAACTTCAACAGACTTCAACTTCAACAGACTTCAACTTCAACAGACTTCAACTTCAACAGACTTCAACTTCAACAGACTTCAACTTCAACAGACTTCAACTTCAACAGACTTCAACTTCAACAGACTTCAACTTCAACAGACTTCAACTTCAACAGACTTCAACTTCAAACTTCTCGTTCTTATTTCACATACCGTATTCTCTCTAATAGTAGTGCGCACTAGACTTCGGAAAACAAAACTTAATCAAAATCAAAACCACCAAAACCAAAACTACCAAAACCAAAACCAAAACCATAACAAAACCAAAACCAAAACAAACCAAAACCAAAACTAACCAAAACTCGCCAATATCTCGCGACTGGGAGAAGCTAGCGAAAATCTGTTTGCAGATTTGAAATCAGCATCCAAAAATCTATCCCATGGGCTATTTTTTGTTTCGAAATTTCGAGGTCGTGTTTTGGTCCTTTTTTCGGCCGCGAGATTTTGGGGAGTGAGGAAAAGTGAAAGGCAAATTTGCATTTTACATTAAAATTTGCATGTTAATTTATATGCAAATTGAGTTTTGGTTTGTTTTGGTGTTTTGGTTTTGGTCTGTTTTGGTCTGTTTTGGTCTGTTTTGGTCTGTTTTGGTCTGTTTTGGTCTGTTTTGGTCTGTTTTGGTCTGTTTTGGTCTGTTTTGGTCTGTTTTGGTCTGTTTTGGTCTGTTTTGGTCTGTTTTGGTCTGTTTTGGTCTGTTTTGGTCTGTTTTGGTCTGTTTTGGTCTGTTTTGGTCTGTTTTGTTCTGTTTTGGTCTGTTTTGGTTTTGGTTTTGTTTGCCGAACTCTAGTGCGCACTACTATTTTTTGAACCCCCTCCTGGACCGCAATACTATTACAATCCCCTCCTGGACCGCAATACTATTAGAGAGTGCACTACTATTAAAGAGTTTTATCTTTTACCAAAGTAAGACAGATATAAGATTTGTTCCAAAAATTCTTGCAATTCTTTCACGTACTCCTTTGGCTTTTTTTTGACATACAGGCTCCTTTTGACATACCGTTGTGGGCCGGCGAGTTGACAATTTGTGTCTTGGCAAACAACAAAACAAAACAAGACGAAACAAAAAGATGTCTTTGCACTTTGCACAATAATTTTAGATTTTTTGCTAACTTTTTCATGTGAAGAATAGTTAATAAATGAATAAAAAAAAGCCTCACTTTTGCTTGCGTGAATAGCTTTAGAATGTCACATAAACATAAAGTCAAAAAGGTTTAGATGAAAAAGAAGCGCTATAAATTCAAATTTTCGAGGGTGCACTACTTTTTCAACCCCTTCTCGGACCGCAATACTATTAAAGAGTGCACTACTATTAGAGAGAATACGGTATTTACAAAAATCTGTTTTAAAAACCTTCATTTTCCTTCTTTAATTGATTTTTAAAATCTTCAACTATTCTGCTTTTTAATTTTCGATTTTTCTCTAAAGTGATGGAGACGAAGGATCGTCGCGAGCGTTTTATGCGACGGCACACAACGTTGAGATCATCACACACTTCACAAGGTGTACTCAAGCTTTAGTTGAGAATCTTTTGTCGTCTGTTTGAAAGTCTGTTTGAATTGAGTTCGTTCTAGACTTGGTAAAGGAGATTTATGGAAATGCTAGGGGGGATTTAAAGATTAAGTTAAAGGTATTCAGGTAAAGATATTCAGTTAAAGATATTCAATTAAAGATATTCAGTTAAAGACATTCTGTTACCGTATTTCTTCGAATAGAAGACCGGGTAAAGAGTATGATCGCGTACTCCTGCATAGCAGCCCTTTTTAAAATTTCTTTTCTGCATAAAAGCTTTCAATCAAGTGCTATAGAGCTGGAAAATGGCTCCAAAATCTGTTAGCTCATGTGGTATTCTTGAGCCATTTTCCAGCCCTATAGCACTTCATTGAAAGCTTTTATGCAGAAAAGAAATTTTAAAAAGGGTTGCTACGCAGGAGCACGCGATCATACTCTTTGCCCGGTCTTCTATTCGAAGAAATACGATAAAGGCATTCAGTTAAAGATATTCAGTTAAAGATATTCAGTTAAAAGTTTCATTTCCCATTATTTTCATAGAAAACATTATCAATTTGACTAATTATTAGTCAAATTGATAATGTTATTATCTTTATTATTGTATTATCTTTATTATTATTATCTTTTCGTTGAACAATTTCATTTTTATACAGCACAGTAGTATACAGTAACTTAAAGTAGTATTTTGATAGCTAAGACTAGGCACAGTACTTGTTATCACCAAAATCCTGATGTAGAGGACGCTGGGAGCTCATCGGGCGCCTCGTCCCTCGACGAGCCGCACACCGGCGAAAGGAATGTCACTTTCCTTTGCCCACCACAAGATAATTTTCATCTACAAGTGCCTACGCTATTTCAACAAAATGAGGATCGACCACCGATGGAGAGGCCACCACATCAGCCTGTGAGTGGTAAAAATTGTATTGGGTTGGTGAATTGAAAACTGCGGGACTTTGAACTAAAATTTATTCCACATAAAATCATAAATTCATTAAAAACCATCATTCCAAATAATTTCCATTATTATTGACGACACTTCTGCTCATTTTACAGGCAATTTGCGGGGTTACAGGCATCCTCTTTCGTAGTAGGATTTTGGTTTGTGTGTGAGACAAGTGTGAGACTCAAAAATGGAGGACTGGAGATGTCCCAGGTTGAGCACTTTCTTCAAAAGAAACCCATTTTGGTGTCAATGGAAAAGTTGTAGAGAATCAAAAATGCAGCTTATATCCAAATTTTCAGAACGATTCAAAAACTGGTTTTCAAGAAATGCCAAATTTATGAATTTTCACAAATGAAATGACGGAAAAGGAGGGGGAGGGGAGGGGGTTACGGTATCTGTCTGTCTGTCTTTCTGTCTGCCTTACTGTACAGGCATTTTTCCAGCCGTATTTTGACCAATATTTCATTTTTCATTTTGGTTTTCAAGAAATGCCAAATTTATGAATTTTCACAAATGAAATGACGGAAAAGGAGGGGGAGGGGGGGTTACGGTATCTGTCTGTCTTTCTGTCTGTCTTTCTGTCTGTCTTTCTGTCTGTCTTTCTGTCTGTCTTTCTGTCTGTCTTTCTGTCTGCCTTACTGTACGGGCATTTTTCCAGCCGTATTTTGGCCAATATTTCATTTTTCATTTTGGTTTTCAAAGAAATGCCAAATTTACGCCAAATTGTGCCAATTTTTCACGAAACTTGCATTTTAAGCGAAACTTAGTAGTTTCGCTTAAAATGCAAGTTTGCAAGTGTCTCTTTTTGGAAATTTGGATATAAGCTTCATTTTTGATTCTCTACAATTTTTCCATTGACACCAAAATGGGTTTCTTTTGAAGCAAGCGATCGATTACGTCCGCGCACAAAGAATGGCTGCTAATGGGACAATTTAGAGTGAAAAATCGAAGAGATTTGTATGTATTAAGATTAGAATTATATCTTTTATACTAATTTACTTCATTTCCGGATCATTGTTACGAGAAAAGAGAAAACTAAGTGTGCCAGAAAGCGCGCGCGCACAAAGTCCAAGTAGATCAGTTCCACAAAGCTCCACAAATGCGGCGATCGGTTTCACAAAGCTCCATATCAACAAATCCACTAGGATTTTAAATATTTTCAATGTACGGCTGAAATTTCAAGCGTCTAGTGCACTAGAAAGCGGGCGTTTGAGAGCACAAAGCACAAGTTGATCAGCTACAAAAAGCTTCACAAATTCGGCTTTAGCATCAACAAATCCTAACTTTAAACTATTTCACGAATTTCACGGTTGACCAATTCTTCATTGTTTTTAGTTCCTTTTTTTTTGAAAATAAAAGACCACATAAAAGGGTGATGAAGGGAATGAAGAGAGAAATGTTGATGGACGCTTCCTGTCCCCCTTTCACTCACCACCTTAAACCTATTCCAGATAAAAAACTATTAATATTTATAGACTAAATACTTGATTATATATTTTATTATATAATTTATTATATCATTTATTATATATTTTATCTAATATTCTATTTTTTACTTTAAAAAATGAGCTTCAAAATGCTTCACAAGACCTCGTTGCAAGAGCGCTCCCTATACAGCCAGTATCTGGTTTGAGCTTTCGAATCTAGAATAGAAATAGAATAGAAATAGAATAGAGATCTAGAATAGAAAATCTAGATTTAAATAATTACCGTAAATACTGTAATAGTGCCCCACCCCCATAATGACGGTGCGGAGCGTTGCGTAGTCTAGCTTTGAACGAGTTTTTCTCGACACTGGTTTATGCTACAATGTTACAATAGGTATCAAAAAATAGCTGAAATTCAGGGCTATTTTTTGAAACCAAAACGAGAATTGTAGCATAAACCAGTGTCGAGAAAAACGCGTCCAAAGCTAGACTACGTAACGCTCCGCACCGTCATTATGGGGGTGGGGTACTATTACAGTATTTACGGTATATTATATAATAAATGAGTATATCTAGTTAATTAACCAGCTATTAACTAGATAGACACTTTTTAATAAATTAAACACAGCTGATAAACCGCTTCGAAAAATTCACCGATAAATCTTGATTCTAAACTCATTTTTCTTATGGAGTTCCTTTCAAAATCTAAGTTTTAATTAAAGACAGCAATTAGTAAACTGAATAGCTCTTAATATAGCGCTTAATATAGCGCTTAATATTAAAAATTTCTTCATTACACTTTTTTTTAGGATGTAATCGAGAAGATCCCAATGAGAGCCCGATCACAGAGTTGGCTCATCCGCACCAGACATCTCAATGAGCGAAAGGTGAGCGAATTGCTTTAATTCAAGTGCTTTAGATCAAGTGCTTTAGATCAAGTGCTTTAATTTTAATCATTAAATTTGAAATATCTCTAATATGCGGTGGAAGAGCATTCCAACTATCAACAACAAGATTAGAGAAAAGATTTCTGGCTGATTTACACAAAGCTAATTGTTTATGCGGAAGAATAAATAAATAAATAAATAAAATAAATAAATAAATACAAATAAATATAAATAAACAAAATAAATAAATAAATAAAACAAATAAAACAAATAAAATAAATAAACAAATACAATAAATAAATACAAATATATATGTCGTAGCCGTTTACGAAATTCAGCCGCTAACGAATCATTCGTTAGCGGCTAGCCGATTAACGAAGCCTAAGCCTAAGCCTAAGCCCTAAGCCTAAGCCTGAACTAGCCGCTAACGAATCATTCGTTAGCGGCTAGCCGATTAACGAAGCCTAAGCCTAAGCCTAAGCCTAAGCCTAAGCCTAAGCCTAAGCCTAAGCCTAAGCCTGAACTAGCCGATTACGAATCATTCGTTAGCGGCTAGCCGATTGATTAGTAATCGGCTAGCTGTTAACGAATGATTCGTTAGCTTACTAGTTTACGAAATTCAGCCTATTACGGATGATTCGTTAGCGGCTAGCCGATTACGAATCAATCGATTACGAATCAACCGATTACGAATCAATCGGCTAGCCGCTAACGAATCATTCGTAGTTGGCTAGCCGCTAACGAATCATTTGTTAGCGGCTGAATTTCGTAAACGGTTACGACATATATATGTTTTATTGAGGAGGCGAATAGAAGCGAATCAGATAATCATAACCGCATATAACATATTGCTACAATACTTTCACAAAAAAAGAAAGAAAGCTAAAAATAGTCTAGTAAGACACAGTAAGACTACAGTTAGGAAACACAGGTACAAAAAGATTAAATATACGGCAGACTTGACATGGCAATAAGGTCTAATTCGTTTACAGATACTTTTATAGATTTTACGGATTACAAATACTTTGAATTTTCCTACAGACGAGAAGCTACCGGACTTGGAAACAGCTTATTCCAAGTCGAAGACGGAAAACGAAGCACTCAAAAACAGTTATGGCTTCGAAATTAAAGTCTGGAACTTGAATGAATGAAGAAGAATCTGAAGTAAAAAAAATGACGCATTCAGCTTAAAATTTTGAATTTCAAACTTACTCGCGAAACTTTATTAAAAAAAAACAACAGAACAGCCTTCTTTGGTCAGCTTTCTTCTCAATACAATCCAAAAATCAAATCAAACATTTTCTCAGTTTTCTTTGAATTGTTTTGAAGAGGATAATGATCAATGAATTGCCTCTTGAAGAATCTTTCAAGAATTATCCTCTTTTGGTCAATTTTTCAATTCAATTGCCTTCTCAATGCCTTCTCAATGACAATTGATGTCAAGGATCAACTCCTCGACATCAATTCTCTCCAATTTTTCGTCTATCTTCTGTTCGTCTATCTTCTTACACTTCTAAAACTTGACTTACTTTATACTACTCGACTTTGTCAAATGTGAAAAAGGGAAAAGAAATCTCTGGGGAATCAAACAGAAAAGAAAGATATGCAAAGAGAGCGACTCTGTTATGGAAGAAAAGGTCGCCCTTCTCGATTTGACACCTCGACTTTGTGGGTCGAAAAGGGGAAATGGCAAAGAATAGGCAACGAATGAAACAAAACGGGAAACGGGAATTCGCGGTTGATCCTCGAATAACCTTTGTGCCAAGCATCTTAGCGCCAAGCATCTTAGCGCCAAGCATCTTAGCGCCAAGCAAGCTTTGTACCAAGCATCTTAGCGCCAAGCATCTTAGCGCCAAGCAAGCTTTGTACCAAGCATCTTAGCGCCAAGCATCTTAGCGCCAAGCAAACTTTGTACCAAGCATCTTAGCGCCAAGCAAGCTTTGTGCCAAGCAAGCTTTATGCCAAGCAAGCTCTGTGCCAAGCAAGCTTTGTGCCAAGCATCTTAGCGCCAAGCAAGCTTTGTGCCAAACAAGCTTTGTGCCAAAGTCAGTGTATTCCCAGGTCAATCTATGCTTTATTAAGGCTAAAGTCAGGCTAGTCCAGCTTCTAGCATAGTTATAGCAGACCAGTCCATATTAAAGTGGCTTAGGCTAGAAGATTTGGCAATCAGGGTCTATTCTTACTGATATTCTTGCTGAAAATGAATAAAGCTTTAAAATTTAAAATGTAGAGCTCGCCTATTCGGTTTCCCTTATTTCTTCAGTACATTTTTGAGAACCACTTTCTGCTCCACTTTCTGCTCCACTTTCTGCTCCACTTTTTGCTCCACTTTCTGCCCCACTTTCTGCCCCACTTTCTACCCCAGTTTCTACCCCAGTTTCTACCCCAGTTTCTACCCCAGTTTCTGCCCCAGTTTCTACCCCAGTTTCTGCCTCAGTTTCTGCCCCACTTTCTGCTCCATTTTTTGCCCATTTCTGGAACGAAAAGACTTTCTGGACAGCCTAATAGATCAGAAATGATAAGAGAAACAAGAGCAGACAAGAGTAAAGGCCACAAACTGGACCAAGTCAAACCAGCTGTTTTAGAGCAAAGATCAGAAGTGCCTAAGTCCTACGATCAAGTCTTAAGTCTACTTGAAGTTTACAGTCTTCCTGAAAAATGCCAGAGTACCAAACCATAAGATTGCGCTAGAGCAAGCTTATGGTTTGATTTGACTTAACAAGGTAGGTTTTTTTTTGCTTTTAGAACAACTCTGTTTGGGGTGAAGAAAGGGGAGGGACCTCAGTCGCGCCAGTTGGAGCTTGATCTTTCTTCCCTTCCGCTCCACTCCTCCCCTCAAATCCCCCGGGAAAAATTAACGCGATCTCTCTTGAAACCTCCAAACAAAACGCTCAGACAAAAACTCGCGCTTAACTCGTCGAAAATTCGTCGATTTTTCTGTTTGATGATGTTTTCTTTGTTTCTTGGATTCCGTTTTTTAAATTCATAAATTTCTAGCTGAAGCTTGAACTTTTGTTGGATCTATTTGATCAATTTGATTCTTTAAGCGATGCACCGTTACACGATTGGCGGTGAGAGCTCGGATACTGCTCCGTCGTCACACTTTCATCATCTTCATTTGGGACATGGGCATCCGGTTGGCTCAGACGAGGCGAATCGGGCGTCACAAGCGTGGAGAAGGTGTTGAGAGATCGCTAAATGTTTACGTACAATATAGTACGGCTATTATAGTACGGCTAATATAGTACGGCTAATATAGTACGGCTATTATAGTACGGTTAATATAGTACGGCGATATAGTACGGCGAATATAGTACGGTTAATATAGTACGGTTAATATAGTACGGCAAATATAGTACGGCGAATATAGTACGGCTATGTCCTCTTGAAGGTTGCATTCAGTAGTAGGCTGCGTTTAGATAGTTTTAGTTTAGTTTTAGCTAGCCAAATTGTACTGTACATGTACATTGTACTGTACAATACCAATGATTTAATTATTTTTAACAGTTGGCTGATTCCAAAAAATACCGAGTTGCTATAATTTTGGATGATCGAGTACATTGATAACGAGTACATTGAGTACTCTCATGTACTTCAGTACGTCAGTGCTCTCATGTACTTCAGTGCTTCAGTACTCTCATGTACTTCAGTACTTCAGTACTTCAGTACTCTCATGTACTTCAGTGCTTCAGTACTCTTATGTACTTCAGTACTCTTATGTACTTCATTACTTCTGTACTTCAGTACTTCTGTACTCTCATGACTTGACTTGGTATTTCATTTCTAACTACGGGATATAATCCTTCTAGCAATCCTGATCGTATCTCACTCCAGACTCTCGCAAGCGGCCCGGGACCCAGCCGAGCCGACCACTCTCCGTTTGCACACATCACTCTATGCTGTGTCAATGGCGGCGACGAGGAGAGCCTCGTTTGTTCGAAGTGATTTCATTCCTGCATTTATTTAAGTACTTTGAGCTCAAGATTTGTAAACACATCCTTCCTGGGGCGCTCGATTTTCTCGTTTTCTCGCGACTCCAAATCGTTTCTGCAAAAGTCGCGAGAAAACGAGGAAAACGAATGCCCCAGAAAGCTTGTTTTTGCAGATTTAATCACAAACTACACCTTTACTTATCTATTTTTTAATCTATTGTTTAAAGGTGGAGAATTCCGTGAGACACTCACTCACTCAACTCTTTCACCGAGCAGTCAAGAAGTCGGGGAAATCTCTCAAATGTCCCAATCTTCATCCGGTCAAGTCTCTTTCTCTACGTCATCAGCCGGCAGAATGAGCAATCCATTGGCACTTAGGTTTTAAAGAGCTGTGATTTGTCAAGTTGTAACTGAAGCTGGTGCAGTGATTTGAAACATCTGGAACTAGGTCAAGAGCCAGGTCAAGAGCCAGGTCAAGAACCAGGTCAAGAGCCAGGTCAAGAGCCAGGTCAAGAGCCAGGTCAAGAACCAGGTCAAGAGCCAGGTCAAGAGCCAGGTCAAGAGCCAGGTCAAGAACCAGGTCAAGAGCCAGGTCAAGAGCCAGGTCAAGAGCCAGGTCAAGAACCAGGTCAAGAGCCAGGTCAAGAGCCAGGTCAAGAGCCAGGTCAAGAACCAGGTCAAGAGCCAGGTCAAGAGCCAGGTCAAGAGCCAGGTCAAGAGCCAGGTCAAGAACCAGGTCAAGAGCCAGGTCAAGAGCCAGGTCAAGAGCCAGGTCAAGAGCCAGGTCAAGAACCAGGTCAAGAGCCGGTCAAGGCCAGGTCAAGAGCCAGGTCAAGAACCAGGTCAAGAGCCAGGTCAAGAGCCAGGTCAAGGCCAGGTCAAGAGCCAGGTCAAGAACCAGGTCAAGAGCCAGGTCAAGAGCCAGGTCAAGAGCCAGGTCAAGAGCCAGGTCAAGAACCAGGTCAAGAACCAGGTCAAGAGCTAGGTCCAGACCTGTCTTCTGGCTGTTCTTGGTACTCTGGTAGAACATCCCTGTCCAGGTTCTGCAAGTGAGTTGTCAAAGCTAGTTTATCTGTGTTGTTGCAATGGTTGATCTATCTGGCTTCTGTCAGGGATGTTCAAGTCGGGTCCTAGCCTGACTCTGGCTTACCAGAGAACCCTTTGAAGTTATTTCAGGAGCAAACTGATTGTGCAAATCCCTGGTTGAAAGCATCACGAATCAAATCAAATCAAATCCCGAACCAAATACTTTTCATAAGCCATTTTTGAAGTATAAGTCTTCAAAGTTTTGACCAATTTTGCCAAACAGCAAGCTTGAGTACTCAAGGTGTTGTTGCGAGCTCGTTGGCTTGCTTCGTTGGCCTAGTGGATAGTGTGTTAGTCTGTGATAGTGTGGATTCTTTGTCCCTGGTTCGGATCCACTGTCGAGCGAATTTATTATTAGGTTGGCAAGTTATAAACGATCGTTTTTGGGTAATGTGTTTTCTGAAAAAACGGCTACAAAATTGAATATTCGTTTTCAGACGGAGTTTGAAAGATATTCTATTTTAAAGCTGAACATATTATGGTATATTGTAGCCAGATATACTTTAGCTAGCCCAGTATTCTTGGTTGGTCGTTCTAGGCTGTGATAGTGTGGATTCTTTGTCCCTCGTTGCAATCTGAATTGTGAATTAAAGTTGTCTTCTTGAGGTGCTTGTTCAATCGTTTTCTCGTTTTCTCGTGCAACTTCGTGCTACAATCCGTATTGTCACAGATGGCTTTGGGAACTTTTCGCCTGAAGCTGAAGCTGGAGCTGAAGCTGGAGCTGAAGCTGGAGCTGAAGCTGGAGCTGGAGCTGAAGCTGGAGCTGAAGCTGGAGCTGAAGCTGAAGATGGAGCTGACGTGGAAGCTGGAGCTGAAGCCCAAGTTGAAGCCCAAGCTGAAGCTGAAGCTAAAGCTGAAGCTGAAGCTCAAGCTGAAGCTCAAGCTCAAGCTGAAGCTCAAGCCCAAGCTCAAGCCCAAGCTCAAGCCCAAGCCGAAGCTCAAGCTGTTTGTCAATCCTTGCTGTTTAAATTTCGAATCCTTCTTCAGTTCCGAATTCCTCATTCGCCCAGTGATCAAATCGGTGGCACTGAAGCGAAAGTATGACTCGAGTCGTTCATATTTCGAGGAAGGACCAGAGGGATGGTTTTGGAAGACAAAAACCGAGGTTATACTTTTTAGGGAAATGTCCGTACAATCAAAAAAAAACAAAAAGCTATTGAAAATAGAATTCTAAAGCTTCTAAAGCTTCTAAATCCCTTAAACACTATCCAAACTAGCTTCTGATCATAAGACGATAAAACAACTAATAAGCCAACTAATAAGCCAACTAAAATTTGCATATAACTCGATCTTAATGTACAATTTACATTTAAACCAAAGTTCTGGAAAGCGCTAAATTTTTATTTGATTTTTTTTGCCGCATTGAATGGTGAGTTCTTCTATTTTGGTACAGAGACAGGTTTCAGAACTTTAATAACATTCAAAGAGCTCAAGAATTCCTTCACCAACTCAACATCCCATTTTCAGGAACCACCCCCATTGATCTCACACTGTATGCTGGCATTCTCCGTGATTCTTTTCATTCTCACATTCCCCTGGTGTCTCTTCTTTTGCGTTAAAGTGGCAAAGTCGGTGATTTGGATAAAGATTGTTCGATTACGATAGTTCGATTTCTGGCTGGTGGTAAAACCACTGGTTCATATAAATGCCAGAGTTCAGTAAGCCCATTAAATGCCAGAGTCCAGTAAGCCCGGTAAACTAGGTTGAGAGCCAGGTTGAGGCAGAACGGAGACACCAGACCAGGACTGGCTTCTGACTCAGCTCAGACCCGAGCCCGTATCTGTTCCCGGAAAATTCTGTACAAAGTATTCCCGCAAAGTCGGAAGATTCTGTCAGAAAGGCTTGGCGGAAGATTTCTGTGGGACATTTCCAGATTTCGCCAGAAAAGTACATTCCGCTATGTACTGGCAATGCTATGCACTGGCAATGCTATGCACTGGCAATGCTATGCACTGGCAATGCTCTCTCAGCGAGTTTCCGCTGGAATATGGGCTTTGGTCTGACCTGGCCTGACTCTGGACCCTAACTTTTTGTAGACTAAGCCACAGGGCTTCTCAGCTAGTCAGATAAACTTTCAGAGAATACCAGCGTGTTGTCGTTTTCCGATTGGGTCGTCTCATTAAAGGTGGCACCCGAGGACCCGGACTTTTCTTCGTCTTTCCCTGCATTGATACGTGTAAAGTGGTTTGTTTTAAAACAAAACAAAAAAGATTATTTACATCTATTTTGCTAAATTTAGCACAAAATCGATTTCAGGTTGATCTACGGGTTTTATCTTTCGATGTGCCAGCGCAAGAGATTCTTTCGCGAGACTCGGTGACGGTATCTGTCGAGGCTGTCATCTATTTCAGAGTTTGTTTCATTGGATGAAGTAGGATGAAGTGTTTATTAATATAATAGACAAGAGCCAGAGCAGTAGATGAATAATAGCGCTAAAAAACAGAATTCCAAATAGTAAAAAACAAAGGAGTTGTTCAAGTCAGGGTTAAGTTTAGAATTGATCGCTTAAGTTTAGTCTTTTATAAAAAGAGTCTACAACTTTTATAAAAAGCTAAAAGCAACATATCGAATGAGACTTGTACTGTCGATTTTTAAAGAAGATACGGTACATATCTTTTGAAATCTAAGAATATGACAATGAAAATGAAAATGAATCAAGTGTAAGATATAGAATCGTTTAGTAGAAACTTGTGAACTATTGGGTTGGTGAATTGTAAAATGCCGGCTATTGTCATATGTGACAGTTTGAGCACTTTCTTCAAAAGAAACCCATTTTGATGTCAATGGAAAAAAAGAAAATAGAAAAAGAAAAAATAAAAAGAAAAAAAGACTGAAAAAATAAAACACGACGAAAGACGGGGTGGGTCCCCCCGGACATCGCTAGAAAGGCCTAGGAAGGTCGTAGAGCTCAAAAGCATGAGGGATCGTTGGTAGATTCGATTCGACAAATCAGATTTCGCTGACCTCAAATTTGGACTAAAAGGCAAAACTACGCAACTAACGCTTTTCCGCAGTTTGCCCTTTGCCCAAATTTGACGTGTCAGCGAGGTCTGATTTGTCGAATATCGGAATCTACGCATACGATTCCCTTATATGGAAGTATTTTCGAAATATTTTCGAAGCTCTATGGCCTTGCCTAAGGCCTTTTCCAGCAAAAGGTGCGAAATGTCCAGGTGGAAAAAGGTCGACCCCGAAAGACTGAAAAATGAAAAATGAAAAATTCTTTGTGGCGGGGTCCTTTTATTGCGTCGGGTTACGGTAGTTTCCGACGTTTGACGCGGAAACGTCTGAAAGGCAAAGTGTACGGTGGACGGTTCGAAAGGCATCTGTCGTCAGAATTTTATTATTTCAAGAGAGAATTCCTTTAAATTGATTTAAAGTAAAATGAAATTGAACCCAATTTGTTTAATTACTTTTTTAATTATTATTTTTAATTGATTGGGTTGGTGAATTGAAAACTGCCGGCTATTGTCATATGTGACAGTTTGAGCACTTTCTTCAAAAGAAACCCATTTTGGTGTCAATGGAAAAGTTGTAGAGAATCAAAAATGAAACTTATATCCAAATTTTCAAAACGATTCAAAAACTAGTTTTCAAGAAATGCCAAATTTACGAATTTTCACAAATGAAATGACGGAAAAGGAGGGGGAGGGGGGTTACGGTATCTGTCTGTCTTTCTGTCTGTCTTTCTGTCTGCCTTACTGTACGGGCATTTTTCCAGCCGTATTTTGACCAATATTTCATTTTTCATTTTGGTTTTCAAGAAATGCCAAATTTACCCCAAATTGTGCCAATTTTTCACAAGACTTGCATTTTAAGCGAAACTACTCAGTGTATCTTTTTGGAAATTTGGCTATGAGCCTAATTTTTGATTCTCTACAACTTTTCTATTGACACCAAAATGGGTTTCTTTTGAAGAAAGTGCTCAACCAGGGACATTCCTTCATTTTTGAGTCTCCAGTCCTCCATTTTTGAGTCTCACACTTGTCTCACACACAAACCAAAATCCTACTATGAAAGAGGAATCCGCCATGTATGCAGAAAAATGTGTGATGTTAAACTGTTAATATAACCGATTCCAGGTGTCAAACCCAGTAATTTCTGTGACAAACGTGAACGACGCTCAGTTCTCAACAAGACTCCTCGCACAAACAACACTTAGAAATGTGCTGGGAACGAAAACTCTATCGGAAATGCTTTCAGAAAGGGATTCGATTGCTAGTGTGGGTTTTAACAGGCACATCTCTGATCTATTTGTTTGATTTGATTTGATCTGATCAAAAAGCACAAAGTTGTGCTTAAATTTGTAAACTAGTGCTAGCTCGAGCTTGATTTCTGGCCATCTTTCTAGCCACCCTTACCTCAAGCTCTGACGAAGACGCGCCACCGTCTCAGGGAGCAATTGCCCTGGGCCTCCGAGTTTTAGAGTCTTTGCTTTGACTGAGAAAATAGCTTGATTCCTCATTTTTCTCGTCGTTTTACAAGAAAATGAAGAATTGAGTGCACCAGAAGTTTGTTTTTGCACTTTTTCAGCACAAAGTACATTCAGAAGATGAATCTAGCTGCAGAAACAAGACATTACAGATAAACAAACGTTTTAGATAACCGAAAAAGTGTTGGACGAGGGCACGGATCCTTGGGGAGTCAAGGTACACTGAAAATTGTGGTTTAACAATATTAATAACTAAAATTAACATATTATTCAATTAACATATTAGCCAATTAACATATTAGCCAATTAACATATTATTCAAATTATATCGATTTAAATTCTCAGGTGGAACGAGTGGAGATTAAAGACATTCGTTTACCGCATCAACTCATGAAGAGTATGGCAGCCGAGGCTGAGGTAAGTTTTCTCTAAAATTAGTGGAAACACTTGCATAAACTCGCAAGATCTTTTAAAGACCTTAGAAGATCTTTTAAAGACATCTAACAGACCACAGTAAACAGTTTTGAATCGATTTTAGAACTCTCTTCGTTAAAACCAAAATTTTGAATCTTTTTGGCAATTTCTAAAAAATCGATTCTTTAGACAGTCTAGAAAATTGAGAATTCTAGAATTCTAGAAAATTGAGTTTACTGTTGGATTACTGTTGGATTACTGTTGGATTACTGTAGCTAAATGTATAATAAAAGCTTTAGGCTGCCCGGGACGCTCGAGCTAGAGTGATCGCCGCCGATGGAGAACGAGATGCGAGCAGGTGGGGGAAAGAAACTCAAGAATATATTGAGTGAATGCATTTGAAATGGCTAATCCCTCAAGCTAATTGAGTAAATCCCTCAATCTAATTTCTGATTGGTTAGAATGAAAAGTTATAATCTTACGCTAATAATAGCGGGGCAACTTTTTGATTTGACATCAAATGATGGAGAAACTTTTCTTTCGATCATTCGAGTCAACTCAACTCTGAGATTCTTTTGAGCCAAAGTTCTATTAGCTAGTTTTAGCCAATAGAACTTTGGTTTTAGCTAATAGAACTTTGGTTTTAGCCAATAGAAGCTAGCCAAAGTTCTATTAGCCAGAAGATAAGCCGTGCTTTCGTTGTTTCCATTCAACTCTCCAAAACATCTTACAATTAGTGTTGGCCTTCATTGTGGTCCGGCTACGAAAAGTTCCGAATTCTCCACTCTCCTTCCAAATGGCGAATTCTCCATTCGCCTTCCAAAATATTAGATTGGCCCATAATTCTTTGTAACACTTTGTTCTACTAGCGTTTATAAATGAGAAATTTACCAATTGCCCTACAACTGGCTCCATTAGAAAGGCCTACTATTTTTCTACAAAATAACGTTCGAATCTTACGAAAATGTTTTGTCTATGGTTTTTTTATGGAGGCGCGAATTCGAGTCGTCAAAAAAGGCGACAACCCGAAGACGCAATTTAGCCGCTTTGGCTCATAGAAACCTATCAATAGATAAATTGCTGTCACAAATTAAATTGCTGCTGACAATTGCTGTCAGTAGATAAAACATAAAACGCAGAAAGTTAGGTATATAGCCGAATTTTGAATAAAACTAATTGATTTAGGTGATTAAATGAATAAAACTAATTGATTTCGGTGTTAAAATGAATAAAACTAATTGATTTAGGTGATTAAATGAATAAAACTAATTGATTTCGGTCCCAAAATGAATAAAACTAATTGATTTAGGTGATTAAATGAATAAAACTAATTGATTTCGGTGTTAAAATGAATAAAACTACCGTATTTACTCTATTAGTGGGGTCCCCCACTATTTTTTCAATCCCCTTCCAGACGACCCCACTATTAGAGAGGACCCCACTATTAGAGAGGACCCCACTAATAGAGTAAATACGGTAATTGATTTAGGTGCCTAAAAGATGCGGCGGACACAATTTGCAGTAATCGAGTCTCAATGCAGTTGAGATATTTACAGGCAAGTGCTTAGTGGATGCACTTTTTCCACGAAAGCTTCTGAACACACCCTTTCTGGTGTACTCGTTTTCTTCTGAAAAGAGAAACAAAAAGATTGAGTGCACGAGAAACGATGCGTTTCCACTTTTCGAGCATAAAGTACACGCTAAAGAACAAATAAATAGATGTACTATGAGATAAAGAAAAGCCTGCTAAATTCAAGAAAAGCCTGCTAAATTAACGTCCAAAAACGTCTACAAACCTACAAACAAATAGCTAACCACCTCGACTACGTCCTACGGCCTGCTAAATTAACAACGGAACCACATATATTTGATTGCTGTTTTCCCCCTAAATTAGTGGTTAGATAGAATCGAATCTGTGGTACAAAATATTAAAAATTCAGCTGCAAACCTTCAAGATTACGGTAGTTATAGTGTTTTTAATATTTGGTAAGATTTGGGCGACAATGAGGTTTCTCTCTTAGCAATGATAGTGGAGCTAGTTAGTACAAAGAAGCCATTGCATTGTGGTTTAGTGGTAGTGTGTTCAGTTACAAAGCGGAGGCTTTCTGGTTCGAGGCTATCTTTAAAATATTGGGTTGATGCATAATTATCCGGACTTCTTTTATAAATGATTTTATTTAACAAAAAATAACATAAATAGTTAGAAAAATATGTTTAATTGATTATTCTGGAGCATATTCACCGCCTACATCAATAACTGATTGCCATTTGCTTGGAAGACGATCGATTCCACGAGCGAAGAATCAACGATCTTTGGAGGCAATCCACGCTTTAACATCGTCTATCAAGTCATCCAAATCGTTGTAGATCTTATTTGTTTGCCAATTTTTGAGCGATCGATTGACGTGGTAGTCCGTTGGGGCTTCTCCAGTTCTTTGAGATCGCGAAACGACTCTGCGGCAGACCATCCCTTTTCGAAGTGGTAGAGCATGATAGGGCGAAGATGGATATGATTGTCGACACGCATTTTGTTCACTAAAGAATAACGAATATTTAAAAAAAAGAAATAGACAAAAAGCTTTCAAAACAAAAAAGATACAAGCACGCAAAAAGAAGTCCGGATAATTATGCATCAACCCAATACTTTTTTTTTTGCTAATAAGTATTAAACAGTATCATTAAAATCATTAAAATCATTAAAATCATTAAAAATTTCAGACTCTTCGCCGAGTGGCGGCTGATCGAAACCACACGGTGATTGTTCCATTCCCCGTCGAGGTGGCCAGACATTTCCTCAAAAAGTGTGGTCATAAACTTTCGTGATCATTTTTGGATAATAAATTTTTGAAAAATCATTAGCAATCATGCAAAGTACAGGAGAAAAGACAGTAGTGAAACGGGTTTTTCGGCTGGTTATCTAATAAAATATATTAGGTTAGCGAGAAAATTCGTAGAAAAAGTTTGAACAGTGATTTCTCAAAAGAAAACTACTTGTTGCTTATCTACTACACAGGGGTCATAAAAAGTTTCTGGTGCACATTTTTTTATGACCCCCAAAGATTGCATTTCATCTGTATTTCAACTCGTCAAACAAACCGACCTGTAAGCCTTGTAAGTCTCTAAGCCTGTTAGCCTGTAAGCATTGTCAGTCTTGTAAGGCTGACAAGCCTTTACTTGTAATCAGCCTTTACTTTCCTTTCCTTTCCTTTCCTTTCCTTTCCTTTCCTTTCCTTTCCTTTCCTTTTACTTTGAAATGTTTATTTCCAAAGAAAACAGAAGAAAAAGCCCATATCACAGCAGCAAAAAAAAAGAAAAAATGGCGTATAGTTTTATAGTTTTATAGCTAAATCTCCCTAAACAAACCCTTTCAAAAAGCACCAATTTTTACATTTAAAAAAGCTGCAAATATGATTGTATTAAACAAAACAATCAAAACCCGTTTCCCCCATTGTTCTCTTTCACCAAAAACGAATCGAGAAATTCTGTTGACAAATCGAGTTGATCTCTTTAAAATCGCGAGCGATCAGATCGGGAAGATGAATTGAAGCGGCCACTCTGCCCAAGGAATTAATCGATATCTCCCATCCATTCACATTCATTTCTTCTAGGGAGACTCTTGTCATCTCATCACCGGCAAGCGATCGAAGTTGTCTGAAAGAAATGAAAGTGAATGAATCAAACTGCTTCTAAAACTGCTTCCAAAAAGCCTTGAAGTGATCTTGATATCTTGAATATCTTGTCTTGAATCTTGTGAATCTTGAATCTTGAATATCTTGTCTTGAATCTTGTGATATCTTGTGAATCTTGTGAATCTTGTGATATCTTGAAGTGATCTTATGGTTTGAACCGATCCAAATATCATCATGAACCTTACAATCAATCATCAACATTACAGTGATCGTTAAGAGTCTGTCAAATGTCAATGACTGTCTGAAAGAAATGAAAGTGAATGAATCAAACTGCTTCTAAAACTGCTTCCAAAAAGCCTTGAAGTGATCTTGAAGATGAGCCTTGAAGCTCCCAAATGCCAATGACTGTCAAATGTCAATGGCTGTCAAATGCCAATGACTGTCAAATGCCAATGACTGTCAAACGTCAATGACTGTCAAATGTCAATGACTGTCAAATGTCAATGACTAACCTCTCCGTTGTCTGTTGCACAGTCGCTCCCTTTTCAGCGGACAATCGAAGCACTCTTGCTGCCAGAATTGAGCACATCTAAAGGTGTTAAACATTGTGCTAACAATAAGTATTGTAATCAATTATATTGTAATCAATTATATTGTAATCAACTATATTGTAATCAACTCTATTGTATCAACTCTATTGTATCAACTCTATTGTATCAACTCTATTGTAATCAACTCTATTGTATCAACTCTATTGTACTCTAATCAACCAAATTATCTCCTCGTTCCCACCTTTCTTGCCATTCTCTCCGTATGAGTGAGACTAGCGATTTCTCGACTCGCATCGGTGTCTTTCCCCTCTCGAAGCAGCCTCGTTGCCACTCCAACAATCACATCGTTCACTCCGAGATTCCATTCTTGACACAATTCCCGGGCAAGCTCAATCGTTTCCTCGTCCACCGTTTCACTCACCTAAAAAGTTGTGAACTTATCGATCGATTTTCATTTAATCGATTGTCAACTAAAGTTTAGCCTTATTTTTGTATAGGGAACACTTATCTATCGAAGATGTGTGCCAAATGGACGGTGATTACAAAGCACAAAGTACAGCACAAAGTACAAAGTACTCATTTACATAGGGATTTCTTTTTTCGCTTTTTAGATTACACAAAAAGAAGATATTCAGCTATAAATTTGTACTGAAGGGTTTTCGGGGTCGGTGAATCGATTGGCGGTGTTTATTTTGTCATTTTATCGACGATAAATCGATTTATCCCCTTCTTTAATACCTACTAAACTCACCTTTTCAATCCACAAACGTCTCCTCTCAATAATCGTCTCATCGACTTTTGCAAGTGGTAGCAATGGATGAGAAGTGAACGGTAAAAAGAAAGCTCTTTGTCCTTTATCGCAGAAAAGATTTCTAATCACATGACAACGATCGAGCGCCTCGTGCTGAAAAGAAAACAAATTTATGATTGATATTGTAAACTTTGATATCTTAGAGAATAGCCAGCCAATTTCTCGAATCTCTAGTCAACTACAGTAATGTTTTGAATAAAGTTGAGAGTTCCTAAAGCTCAGCTTGAGAGTTCAGGTTAAGCTTTGAGAGTTCAGGTTAAGCTTTGAGAGTTCAGGTTAAGCTTTGAGAGCTCAGGTTGAGCTTTGAGAGCTCAGGTTGAGCTTTGAGAGTTCAATCATCTAGCAAAGTATATTTCTACTATCGTCGATAGTTCTTCAACTCACTTGTAACCTCAAAACCATAGCCAAATGTAGATGATGTAGCACGAGGTGATAGTTGACTAAACCCTGTCGAGAGATTGTCTCACAGAGGGAAGCCCTTGAAGTGATTTGATGGAAATTGATGGCCGGTTTGGTGAAAGAAGTCTGAAATTGATTGTACATTCTTCAAAGTGACCTTTTGAACAGCTAAACAGAGAACAGACCATACAGAGCCATTATCTCAAACTCCAAAATGTCAAATCAGGTTTTGGCTAGAGGTCTAGAGCTAGAACAAGTTAGAGGCCAGGTTAATGACCCATCGTTAGCTCCAAAAACTTTGTGGATCAGATTTTGATCGGTCAAAGCAAATCTAGTTCCTCAAGCAAGCAAGGCTTAAAAAGTCGGTCATGGTCGATTGGCTAAAAGCCTTGTATCTTTGATCTTGTATTACTAGGGAATTTTGTTAACTTATTGTGGCTTTTTGACTCGGGAAATAGCCTATTAGATGCAGTTTTTCACGCTGATTCTGAATCTGCAATCAGTTTCTGCCAAACGCTTCTCTATCGCGAGATCTTTGGCATATGTACAAGTTTTTGGAGTCTCTTTATGAGGGCGACGCACTGTCTTCGCTAACGATGTTGGTGGTCTAGTGGTTAGTGCACGCATCTGTTGGGGGTATGCCCTTTTGGACCCCGAGGGTTCGAGTCCTCTGTCTCTATAAGGCAACCTTTCTTTTACTCTTTTTCGCCCACTAGCTTGTTTCGGATGCTAGCTTGTTTTGGATGCTAGCTTGGTTCGGATGCTAGCTTGTTTCGGATGCTAGCTTGTTTCGGATACTAGCTCGGTTTCGGACACTAGCTTGGTTTCGGATACTAGCTCGGTTTCGGACACTAGCTTGGCTTCGGATGCTAGCTTGGCTTCGGACACTAGCTTGTTTTCGGACACTAGCTCATTTTCGGACGTAACATATATAACATACATATATACCACCTGATTTCAATAAAATCCCACCTTCAACCATTCTTCATGTTCAATTTGTAGTGGCGGTGGTGAGTCTTTGACTGAGGAGAGCAATTCTCGGAGACACAAAAGCGAAGCGGACAGAAATTTCGGCTGAATATCTTGAATTGAAATTGAAATCAAGAATAGAATAATTGAAATCAAGAATTGAAATTGAAATCAAGAATTGAATGATTGCAAATCATTAAGTTCAAGATTATATTAGTTTCCTCAACTTGTCCCCACTCACCAATTGCATATCAGTGATGCCAATATGTTTGCGAGCCTCTCGATCTTTCAGCGATCTTCCTGTCTAAAATTTGAACTACTATTTTCTAGTTTGATTTTTGTTTAAAAGTTTGAAAATAGTTTTATTAGTAATATTTTTACTTTGTCAAATATTTGAGCTGTTTCCTTGAAGAGTTCTCCTAAATGTGTATCCCAAGCGAGGCGGCAAATCCCATGGCGTAAACGATCGCATTCAATTGTTGGGAGAAAGTCGCAAAATTGCTGAAAATTCGATTTCATTCTGAAATTCCTTTGTTGATAGGTTTTGATAGGTTTTGGATAGGTTTTGGATAGGTTTTGGATAGATTTTGGATAGGTTTGGATAGGTTTTGATAGGTTTTGATGGGTTTATTGATAGGTTTTGATGGGTTTTGATAGGTTTGGATAGGTTTTGATAGGTTTCTGGTAGGTTTTGATAGGTTTTGATGGGTTTTGATGGGTTTATTGATAGGTTTGGATAGGTTTAGATAGGTTTTGAATAGGTTTTGGATAGGTTTTGATAGGTTTTTGATCGGTTTTTAAAGGCTTTAGCTATTGCTTTAACTATTTGCTTTAGCTATAAACACAAATTTGTGTATTCCCACCTCCAAATATTCAAAATCCTGCTTATTCTTGATCCACAAGCTCATCGCTTCCCATGTGGATTCGCTTCGAATTCGATCGATTTCCAAAGAGATTGGGAGAGTTTTGAGAAGCTCACAGAGAATCGGTGCATTTGATGGATTCACGAGGAGAGCCTCGAGTAGATTGACGAGTTCCGCTGCGTTCTCTCCACGAATCAACACGTATTTAGCTAGCTGAAGCTTTTAAAGTTTTAAAAGAATCTTGATCTCTGTCACCTGTTCAGTGAAATAACCCATTCCACTGGCGAATAGACGCGAAAAAGACTGCTTTTCGATGGGATCACCGAGTTTTTCGAGTAAGCTCAACACGTGGCCGGCACGTAGCCAACAAAAGACCTAAAAGAGAAAAATTCAGCTCTTCAACCAGCCCTTCAACCATAGCTTTTCTGGAATCATTTTTCTGAGTCCGGCTTTAGCTTTGACTTATAAAAGTGCCTGAATTTGCAAAAAATCGGTCAATTCGTGTCTCTTGAGACTTTTCTTGGAACAAAGGCGTGAAATAAACACCGCCAATCGATTCACCGACCCCGAAAACCCTTCAGTACAAATTTATAGCTGAATATCTTCTTTTTATGCCATGTATAAAGCAAAAGAGAAATCTCTATGTAAATGAGTACTTTGTACTTTGTGCTGTACTTTGTGCTTTGTAATCACCGTCCATTTGGCACACATCTTCGATAGATAAGTGTTCCCTAGTGGCAAGGTGTTCTTTGTGCGTAATCGCTCGCCGTCTGGCACAGGCTCCCGATAGATAAGTGTTCCCTTTTTGCAATCGTTAAAGGAGCGGCCAGCGACTGAGCCATTTTCTCTGTTTTTTTGGCCCAAAGCAGCTGAGGTCTACGCCGTCGCCGCGTGGCAGTCGGTAGCGCGTTCGTCTACGGCCCACACGGCCCGGGTTCGACTCCTGGGTGCCCACCGAACCCTGATTTTTCAAAATTTGTTTTTAAATGAAAAAACCACAATAAATGCTGACAATTTTTAGCTTTATTAGTCAAAAGACGGCTGAGAAAATACCCGTACGGACATTTTCTCGGCCGTGTTTAACAGACACAAACAGACAGACGGACAGACACTGTTCTTTTATATATACTCGATCCCTGGGTTCAATTTTTGCTTTAGTTTTTGGCTTTGGTTTAGCTTTGCTTTAGTTTTGGCCGTTTCAAGTAAAAATTCTGCATTTTAAGCCGAATTTGGTATGTAAAGTCGGAAAAGAGACAAGCTTTTCACTTTTCACCCATATCACATCGGCGCGAGAGCTCGTAACTCGACGACGAGGGTCTAGAACCAAAAACGAAGGGATAACTTTTATTCTAGAGACTCTTACGAACATTTTCATGCAAAAATCATCAAATTTGCTCAACTCTAAAAAAAGTTATAGCCTTTTTTCAAAAAGAAATGAGAAAATTTTAAATAACTTTTTTTAGAGTTGAGCAAATTTGATGATTTTTGCATGAAAATGTTCGTAAGAGTCTCTAGAATAAAAGTTATCCCTTCGTTTTTGGTTCTAGACCAGCGTTGTCGAGTTACGAGCCCCAAACTGCAGGGTACCACAAAATTTCCCATACAAAATGACCAAAAAAATCGCTAAAACTAAATTTAAAAACTTTCTGTCAGAGGGATTTGAACAATTCCTTCAGATTCGGAATCAGCACAATTTTCCGCATCTAAAAAAGGTACTCACAGAAAAATTCGATAGAAAAAGGCATTTTTGCCTTATTTCGCGCCGATGTGCGCTGTGTCAATCTGGCGCCAAAGAGGAGTTTCTTGGTTCGACCCCTCTGCAATCCTCGAGTCTTTTTTGAACGTTTTGAACAGCAGAAATTGTAATTAATGCTTTAAACTAACATTTTGATTGTAAAAATAGATCTTCTTCGAAATCGAAAAATAGATCAATCGAAAAATAGATCAATCTTCGTTAAGCAACTATTGTACGCCATTCCAAACCTTGCCGATGTGCGTACTGTTTCGCTTTAAAAACTTACAGTCTCATTCTCGACCATGTCTATCTCCCATTCATTTGTTTCCTCAATCTCCTCATCTGCCACTCCTTTCTTCAATAATCGTTCTTCTATTGAGCCTTCGAGATCCACTGGTGGTAAGTCATCGGTTTCTTCGTAAATCTGAGCTTTCAACTTGGCGTTAAGGTAGATTGAAAAAACGGCTAAGAAGTTAGGGTTTAAGGTTCATACTGAAACGTGGCAACTTTTGAAATTACCATAATCTTGTCTCCACTCTTATCGAATCTATCTATTTTTATAGCTTTCGATATCCTTTTTTAAACCCTTAAAAAATTAGATAAAAAGGAAGATTGATTGAATAAAACTAGAAAGATTACAGTACTCGGGGTTGACACGTTTTAGAAAAGGAACCTAGTCAAAACAGCGCCCATTCAAAACAGCGCCCATTCAAAACAGCGCCCATTCAAAACAACGCCCATTCAAAATAGCGCCGCCAGAACAGCGCCGTTCAAAACAGCGCCCATTCAAAACAGCGCCAAATTGAAAGAGACTGCGATTAGATTTTTCAACCCAAATGCTTTTATACTTCTCATAAGAATTTGCAACTTTTGTTATTTTTAAAACATTTTTAACCACCTTGCGCGTGTTTTGACAAACCGACCGATTATTTCATCATTAGAGTTTTTGTATGGGCGCGATTTTGAACGGCGCTGCTGTGAACGACGCGGTTTTGAATGGCGCTGTTTTGAACGGCGCGGTTTTGAATGGCGCTGCTTTGAACGGCGCTGCTTTGAACGGCGCTGCTGTGAACGACGCGGTTTTGAATGGCGCTGTTTTGAACGGCGCGGTTTTGAATGGCGCTGCTTTGAACGGCGCTGCTTTGAACGGCGCTGCTGTGAACGACGCGGTTTTGAATGGCGCTGTTTTGAACGGCGCGGTTTTGAATGGCGCTGCTTTGAACGGCGCTGCTTTGAACGGCGCTGCTTTGAACGGCGCTGCTGTGAACGACGCGGTTTTGAATGGCGCTGTTTTGAACGGCGCGGTTTTGAATGGCGCTGCTTTGAACGGCGCTGCTTTGAACGGCGCTGCTGTGAACGACGTGGTTTTGAATGGCGCTGTTTTGAACGGCGCGGTTTTGAATGGCGCTGCTTTGAACGGCGCTGCTTTGAACGGCGCTGCTTTGAACGGCGCTGCTTTGAACGACCGGTTTTGAATGGCGCTGTTTTGAACGGCCGTTTGAATGCGCTGCTTTGAACGGCGCTGCTTTGAACGGCGCTGCTGTGAACGACGCGGTTTTGAATGGCGCTGTTTTGAACGGCGCGGTTTTGAATGGCGCTGCTTTGAACGGCGCTGCTTTGAACGGCGCTGCTTTGAATGACGCTGTTTTGAACGGCACTGTTTTGAATGGCGCTGCTTTGAACGGCGCTGCTTTGAACGACGCTGTTCTGAATGGCGCTGTTTTAAATGGCGCTGCTTTAAATGGCGCTGCTATGAATGGCGCTGCTTTGAATGGCGCTGCTGTGAACGACGCGGTTTTGAATGGCGCTGCTTTGAACGGCGCTGTTTTGGCGGCACTGCTTTGACTAGGTTCCTTTAGAAAACGCTTCAATTGAGGGCAAAAGTGTTTACTATAATGATCGTACCGTTGACTGAGCATCATGATAGAACAAATTGACATCTTGTGGCTGTGCCTCTTTCACGACTTCATTGTGAATTCTCGCCTCAGAAAGCTCTTCAATGATTTCTTTCCTTTGATTGCATCGAATCATGATCAAGACAGCATAAAGGGCAATCGATTGATCGATTTTTTCACTAAAATATTGAGTTGTATTGATTCGATTTGAAAAACGATTCGATCATTCGATTCGATTCGATTCGATGTCGAATTTTCGCTTAGTTTAAGCTCAAATCTGTAAACGCAGCCTTTCTAGGGCACTGAATTCTTCACTTTTCAAAGCTAGTGATGCGCTAGAAGAAGAAAGTTTAAAATTTGCACAGATTTGAGCACAAAGTACATCCACTCACCATTCGAGCAAAGCTTTCTCAAAAGTCTCCAAGCAATTGGGTGAAAGATTGATGAATTTTGTGATCTAAAAAAGTTTATATTGTAAAATATACGCTTTAGATATTAAATAACTCATAGATATAGAGATTTTATTATTTAAATACGTTAATGGTGGCGCTGGCGGTGGCGCAGAATTATGGCGACAACTTTTTTTAGAAAAGTTGCTGACAAACGCCTGCCTTATTATTGAAGTACCAAGTGTTATATAGAGAATTGTAGCCCTTGATCTTGGCTACATTTCTCTACAAAGAACTTTCCGTTTGGAGCTATACAATTGATTTTACAAGCTCTCGAATGAGCTCAAGTCGGAGCGAATGAGCTCTCCGGCTCTTGTGGCAGATGGCCGTAATAGATAATCTCTATATCTATTGCTTATAGATAGATAATCTCCGTAATAGATAATCTCAATATCTATAAGTAATAGATATAGAGATTTTATTATTTAAATACGTTAATGGTGGCGCTGGCGGTGGCGCAGAATTATGGCGACAACTTTTTTAGAAAAGTTGCTGACAAACGCCTGCCTTATTATCAAAATACCAAGTGTTATATAGGAAAATAAAGCCCTGAATCTTGGCATCATTGTTCTACAAAGAACTTTCCGATTGAAGTCATACAACTCATTTTACAAGCTCTCGAATGAGCTCAAGTCGACCTCTCTCCGACGATGTCATTTTTAACACTTTTTGACACACTAGAAAGAGATTTCTTCAAACAAACTTGTAAGATTTTATTTTAAAAGTACTTGTTAACAAAAATATAACGCTAGTGAAGCTTATACAACAAGATATTCTTGTCAAATGAATATTTGAAAAAGCTAGTTTCCCTGTTTTGCAGAGTTTCCAAATGAACCCAGAAATCAACTCCAATTTTGACTATTAAAGTTTAATAAAACAGTTTCCTGTTATTCTTATTACTATTAAATGATATTAACTCTTATTTTTTCACAAAATAAATATCGAGAAAACTTATTAACAATTTTGTTTATTAAGAAAAGTGTTAAAAATGACATATCGCCAGAGAGAGGTCGACTCGAGCTCATTCGAGAGCTTGTAAAATCAATTTTATAACTCCAAACGGAAAGTTCTTTGTAGAAAAATAATGCCAAGATTCAGGGCTTTATTTTCCTATATAACACTTGACACTTTGGTAATAAGTCAGACGTTTGTCAGCAACTTTTCCGAAAAAGTTGTCGCCATAATCCTGCGCCGCCAAGTAGATGCTGAGGCTAAAATTAGTATAAACTTACAAGGAGTATCAGTGAAACGATGACTCTCAGCGTCGGTAAACCAGACGAATGCACCCACCATTGGGACAAGAGCCACGCCAGATTTTCCTGTATCGATTTTAATATTTAGATATAGTTCTTGTAACGTTTTCTAGACGGTGGATAATCTGGAAGGCTATTAGGTTGGTGAATTGAAAACTGCCGGCTATTGTCATATGTCAAAGTTTGAGCAAAGAAAAAAAGACTGAAAAAAATAAAACACGACGAAAGACTGAAAAATTCTTTGTGGTGGTGGGGCTCCGGGTTACGGTAGTTTCCGACGTTTGGCGCGGAAACGTCTGAAAGGCAAAGTGTACGGTGGACGGTCCGAAAGGCATCTGTCGTCAGAATTTTATTATTTCAAGAGAGAATTCCTTTAAATTGATTTAAAGTAAAATGAAATTGAACCCAATTTTTTAAATTACTTTTTTAATTATTATTTTTAATTGATTGGGTTGGTGAATTGAAAACTGCCGGCTATTGTCATATGTGACAGTTTGAGCACTTTCTTCAAAAGAAACCCATTTTGGTGTCAATGGAAAAGTTGTAGTGAATCAAAAATCAAGCTAAAATCGAAATTTTCAGAACGATTCAAAAACTGGTTTTCAAGAAATGCGAAATTTACGAATTTTCACAAAACTTGCATTTTAAGCGAAACTATTAAGTGTATCTTTTTGGAAATTTGGCTGTAAGCCTAATTTTTGATTCTCTACAACTTTTCCATTGACACCAAAATGGGTTTCTTTTGAAGAAAGTGCTCAACCAGGGACATCTCCAGTCCTCCATTTTTGAGTCTCACACTTGTCTCATACACAAGCCAAAATCCTACTACGAAAGAGCAATGGGTGGGGCCAGGCGAGAAACCCGAAAGTAACCCCCAGCCCGATTTGCACCGATAATTTCGGACTTTTTAGGGCTTTTTTAAAGTATTTCTACGAAAAACGAGTTTTTTTGCACCCGAATTTGCTTGGAAATGGACTCAAATTGGCTTAAAAAGCTAGAAAAGTGAACAAGAAGGCATTTGAAGGCACTTTTTGAAGGCATATATTGAAGGCATTTTTTGAAGGCATAATTTGAAAGCACTTTTTGAAGGCACTTTTTTGAAAGCACTTTTTGAAGGCACTTTTTGAAGGCACTTTTTGAAGGCACTTTTTTGAAGGCACTTTTTGAAGGCACTTTTTGAAGGCACATTTTGCAGGCATAGGTCTTTGTCATTTATAAATGAAAGTAGAAAAAAGATGATCAAGACTTATGTACCAACCTAATACCGTAATCTTTTCTTCAGATTTCCTCTGTTCAACTCAATTTGGATCCCATTCGATTCAAAGTTTGCTTCCTCATCGAATGAGATTAAAATTAATAAGGCAAAATCTGAAGGAAAGGCTACGGTAGCTTCCCAGATTATCGAATCTTTAGAAAATGCAGTACTTTTGACCTACCGTATCAAATGGGAGCTCGTTAAGTACTCCAAAGAGTTCATCGAACGGTTGCTTTCCCAGCATAAACCCGTCGAAGATCAAATGAGCGAAGGCATGCAATTCTTTGTCCGATAATTTTCTAGATATATCTCGATATATTTTTTTTGCGATATTTGAATACGGTTTTTCGCGTGTAACTCTGCACAAACTCAATCAATCTACTTACTCTCTTCTTTTTTATCAAATTAAAAGCATTTTCTCCATTTTCTCCATTTTCTCCATTGACTTTTCACCATTTGTTCAAATACTAAATGAACGTCTTGCTAGAGAAATTTAAATTTCAGAATTGGAAATAAAATTTTTGCTTTTGCTTTTAGCGGCAAAAAGCTTTCGAGCAAATTTTAAGAAAAATTCTTTCCAATTCTGAAATTTAAATTTCTCTAGCAAGATGTTCATTTATTATTCGAACAAATGGTGAAAAGGAGAAAACGTTTGAAATTTTTAAAAAAAGAAGAGAGTAAGTAGATTGAATGAGTTTGCGCAGAGTTACACGCGAAAAAGCGTGTCGCCATAATTGCGCTGTATTCTGTCTGTTACTGTACCTCAGTTGTGAAGTGGTGGAGCCCGTTTGCGCGTTGATGATTGCGAGAAAATCGGCGAAACTCGATCGAGTCGAGGAAACGGGAGCACTGGAAAGGAATGATTGAGTGCACGAGGAGGAGGAGGAGGAGGAGGAGGAGGAGGAGTGTGTTTAAAAGTTTAAGCCTGCCACCGTATTTTTGAATGAGCTACCGTATTCTAGCGGAAGGCTATCGTATTCTAGCGGAAAACTATCGCATTCTAGCGGAAAGCTATCGTATCGTAGCGGAAAACTATCGTATTCTAGCGGAAAACTATCGTATTCTAGCGGAAAGCTATCGTATTCTAGCTCAAACCTACAGTATCCTAGCTTAAACCTACTGTATCCTAGTTTAAACCTACTGTATCCAGTTTAAACCTACCGTATCCAGTTTAAGCCTACTGTATCCTAGACCTACTGTATCCTAGCTTAAAGCTACCGTAATCTTTACACCCTTTATGCGCAACCTTTATACCATACCTATAAAGCTACCATAATCGTAAAGCTATCTTAACCTTTTTAGAACTTTTAGCTAAGCCACTGCACCCGGCCGCTTTATCCAATGTTGCTTTATGTGTTTTCTATGTACCCAAAATCGTTCACCTCTCAAAATCGATGTGCAGCGAAAGAAGTTTTGAGAATTCCATTGTTGGGCACAACTTTAAAAAGGTTTTCCTCTTCGCTAATCTGCCCGCATTCGTCCATCTTGACAATTTCTCATAATCTGTGCATAAACGTCGAATGAAAATGAGAAGATCGTTGATCGAGATTGAGCTGTCGATCTAAATTGTTAGAAAGTTTGATTTTGATTTTGATTCTGGTTTGATTTATGATTATTAGGATTAAGATAAGATTCTGATTAAGAAGATAAGATTAAAAAAACTCTTAAAACTAAAAAACCTTTTCCAGAGCATCAATGAACTGTAATAGTTGAGTGGATGAGTTCATGGAATTCATCAAATTCGTGACAAGTTCTCGTCGTCCGCGAATCGTTTTCAACTCCACGAAAGCACTTGTGAATTTGGGGAGATCAGTGAAAATCTCCGAGGAAAGCTGAAGCTCGTTTTTTATAGTTAGATTTTGAATCGAATTCTGCACTCGATTCATTCCAGAATTCAATTTCATTCTAGTATGCCAGAAAGGGTGAGTTTAAACGCTTCTTTTCCGTTAGATATCCGCAAAAATAAACCTCCGATCACTTCTGTTACACATCCGCAAAATTTGCATTTGACCGTCTTGGACGACCGGCCGGCCGCTCGGCCAAGACCTTATTAGAAGCGATTGATTGAAAGCATCATTTGATTGAAGAATTTGATTGAAGAATTTGATTGAAGAATTTGATTGAAGAATTTGATTGAACAATCGAGCCGGGAACCCAAATTTATTCCAATTTTTGGCGAGGATACCCCTAAGCCTAAGCCCTAAGCCTAAGCCCTAAGCCTAAGCCCTAAGCCTAAGCCCTAAGCCTAAGCCCTAAGCCTAAGCCCTAAGCCTAAGCCCTAAGCCTAAGCCCTAAGCCTAAGCCCTAAGCCTAAGCCCTAAGCCTAAGCCCTAAGCCTAAGCCCTAAGCCTAAGCCCTAAGCCTAAGCCCTAAGCCTAAGCCCTAAGCCTAAGCCCTAAGCCTCAACAGATGGAGGAAGCCGGCTTTACCCACGCTCAAGTCAACTTCCTGAATCCCGAATCCTGAGTCAACAAGTACAACTTCCTGAATCCGGATGACCCTACCATTCACACGCAGACGATCGAGCGTTTATAGGGATCCGGATGACCTGAATCCAGATGACCCTGCCAAATGGAGAAACAAGAAGCATCGCGACACGCGGCATCGCGACACGGCACATCGTTTCCTATCCTCGCTGAATATCCTCGCTGATTTCATGGTCCAACAAGAAGGGATTGAAGAATTTGATTGAAGAATTTGATCGAAAGCATCGAGCCGGGAACCCAAATTTACTCCGATTTTTGGCGAGGATACAACACTACCGTATCGTAGCGTATCGCAGATGGAGGAAGCCGGCTTTACCCACGCTCAAGTCAATCACAAGTACAACTTTCTGAATCCGAATGACCCTACCATTCACGCGCAGACGATCGAGCGTTTATAGGGATCGGCCAAATCGAGAAACAAGAAGCATCGCGGCACGGCACATCATTTCCTATATCCGCTGAATATCCGCGCTGAATATCCTCGCTGATTTCATGGTCCAACAAGAAGTGGGAAAGGACAATTTCTACGAATTTCTACAATTTCTACGGGTTTTGCAACAAATTGCTATGGCATGGATTCCTCATTGATCTTTTTTTGATGTTTATTTTTGATTTTGATCGATTTTTGATTCAATTGATCGATTTTTGATTATTAAATGATCAGAGGTTATTTTTGCGGATATCTAACTGAAAAGCACCATTTAAACTCACCCTTTCTGGCATACTAGAATGAATCGAGTGCACCAGAAGGAGTGTGTTTACTTGAGCACAACGTACCCTCACTCACCTTTGCTAGATACAATTTGTCGTGATCCTCGTGCGATGTTCTCACCAAGGCACAAATGTATGGAACCTCGATCGATAGAAAACGACCATCGAGTAGAAAGAGAAAAGCTGTCGACGAGAGTTCGGCACTTCCACTTCCCAGCACCATTTCCCCACCACCATCCAACAGGAGGGAATTCGATGGCACGTGACGGGCTGACACGCGGAAACCGTTCTGAATATAGACGAATCAGAAGCTATTTTAATCAGAAGCTATTTTAATCAGAAGCTATTCTAATCAGAAGCAATTCTAATCAGAAGCTATTTTAATCAGAAGCAATTTTAACCAGAAGCAATTCTAATCAGAAGCAATTTTAACCAGAAGCAATTCTAACCAACAGAACTTTGTCAATTCCGAGAAGTTAATGATCAGGAAGAAGAAAATGACGCACGTGAACATGACGTACGTAAACTTTTGCAGAACTAGCGTGCGCAAATTGCGACATTGCGACATTGCGACACATGTATTTGAGGCAAAAAAAATTTGCAATTTGCAAGATGCAAAATTGGTGGACCTGCACCAGAGGCCAATCCTGGATGGATCTGTTGGTAGCTAGCCCTGACTTGACTCTCACTAGCTGTAGACAAAAGGAACCAAATTTGTAGGCAAAAGGGACCATATTTCCAGACTAGCTCAATAAGTACTAGAGATTTGGGTAAACCCTTGGTTATTAATGTTTCATATAGTGAGGTACTGGTGTTTCTTGTTTCTCCAAATCTCAAGTACCACTGATACCGCACTTTTATTGTTATTTTTTGTAGACTCCAACCTGTAGACTCCAAATTTCGATCAAATCCCTCCGTGGCGCATGAATGACCAGAAAGAGGGCCGTTTTGTCGTCTTGCTAAATTTTGTTAAATACTAAATTTTCAATCTACAGGGTGGCTCATAATTATAGATGCAATGGCTTATTATCTATTATTATTAACTTTCGATGTCCTCAAAGCTGAAATTTTGATTGCCGGATTGCATTGAGCCCCAAAGCATTTGACAAATCAAATTTAGACATTCCAGCAAGACGGGGCTCTGGCCCAAAAAGTCAAGAAAGTTCAAGATTTTTGCAAATCCAAGTTTCCCGATTTCATCTCTTTTTCTGAATGGTCACCCAGCTTGCCGGATCTCAATCCGAATGATTATTCTGTCCTTGAAGCAAAAGCCTGCTTAAAATCGCATAAAATATTGAAAGTTTGAAGAAAAGTCTTCTGAAAGCCTGAGATGAAGCCTGAGATGAGATGATGCTTACTTGGTCGCCACTAGACATGGGAATCGGGTCAGCTTTTGTCGGATCGGGTCAGATCGGTGCAACTCGAAAACCATGAGGGTTCGGGTCGGGTCAAGTCGAGTCAAGTCGAGTCAACCGAGTCAAGTCGAGTCAAAATTCAACTTTGTCAGGTCGGGTCGTTTCGGATCAACCCGAAGATTCAAATTTTTCGGGTCAACCCGAAAATTCAAATTTTTTGGGTCGGATCGGTCCGGGTCAATCCGAAAATTCCAATTTTTCGGGTCATTTTCATTGATTGACCCGTTTTCCATTGATTTCATTGATTGTTGAATATTGCTCGATTACCATGCAACGTTTGCAATCAGTCTGCTGACTTTGTTCTTCTTATTGTTCTTCTTTTGACAATGACTTCTTTTCTTATTGTTCCATATTGTTCTTCTTTTGACAATGACAATTCTTTTCTTCTTCCAACCCGAAAATAAAAAAATTTGTGGGTCGGATCATTTCGAGTCAACCAGAAGATTCAAATTTTGTGGGTCGGGTCGGGTCAACTTTTGAGCCGACCCAATCCGATTCAATCCGATTCGATCCGACCCGATTTCCCATGTCTTGTCGCCACCTAAACGCTTGACAGCGTGCTAAAATGGCTAAAAATGGTGATCGTTTTAATTTTAATTGTTAATTTCTTGTTCATTGATATCAAATCAAGTTTTTAAAGCAAAAGCTTGTTCTCCAAAGTTTAACTTTATCTACCCACAAAGCTTTTTATCTGTACCTAAAATTATGTTGGCCACCCTGCAACACTAAAGCTACCTTTGACGTGATAAAGAGACATCGAGCATCTCGATAACCTTTCCAAATTCGAACGATTTGACGGGAGTTGTACTTAAAAAGATATTAATATGTGATTTTGTTAATATTATCAATATTGTTCTATTCATATTAGATGAAAATTCGTTATATTGGGTTGGTGAATTGAAAACTGCCGGCTATTGTCATATGTGACAGCTTGAGCAAAGACTGAAAAAATAAAACACGACGAAAGACTGAAAAATTCTGGGGTGGTGGGGCTCTTTTATTGGGCCGGGTTACGGTAGTTTCCGACGTTTGGCGCGGAAACGTCTGAAAGGCAAAGTGTACGGTAGACGGTTCGAAAGGCATCTGTCGTCAGAATTTTATTATTTCAAGAGAGAATTCCTTTAAATTGATTTAAAATAAAATGAAATTAAACCCAATTTGTTTAATTACTTTTTTAATTATTATTTTTAATTGATTGGGTTGGTGAATTGAAAACTGCCGGCTCTTGTCATAAGTCACAGTTTGAGCACTTTCTTCAAAAGAAACCCATTTTGGTGTCAATGGAAAAGTTGTAGAGAATCAAAAATTAGGCTTACAGCCAAATTTCCAAAAAGATACACTTAGTAGTTTCGCTTAAAATGCAAGTTTTGTGAAAATTCGTAAATTTGGCATTTCTTGAAGAAGAATAGGCCCTTCAAGTCAAAGATCGTTCTCCTCCACGACAACGCTCTGCGTTTTCTGGGATATGGAGGGAGTGGTGTACTGAGAGTTGCTGGATACAAGACGACCGTTAATGCAATCAAATACACTGAACAGTTGGAAAAGGTGAATGAATCCCTGAATAGAATAGAAATGAAGAAGAATAGGCCCTCCAAGTCAAAGATCGTTCCCCTCCACAACAACGCGCGCTCTCATGTTGCAAAACTGACTCGCTTTAAAATAAATAGCCTTGCTTGGGAACTTTTGGCACATTCCCCATACAGTCCGCCGCCCCTTTTGATTACTATTTATTCCGGAGCATGAGTAATGAGCTTGCGGGAGAACACTTCGATTCGGAAGAAGCAGTCAAAAATTGGCTTTGAAAGTTTTTCGATTCAAAACCAAAATCCTACTACGAAAGAGGAATCCGCAAATTGCCTGTAAAATGGGCAGAAGTCGTCAATAATAATGGAAATTATTTCGAATGATGGTTTTTAATGAATTGATGGTTTTGGAATGATGGTTATGTTGAATAAATTTTAGTTCAAAGTCCGGCAGTTTTCAATTCACCAACCTCGTAGATTAAAATTCGTTATAGATTAAAAGTTCTAAAGCTTTACATCAATCAGTAGGACTCTTGCATGATTGTCGACGACGGCAATGAGTGGACGGTCTGGGGCTCTCACTAACCATTCAGCCACTCGTGATTCACCCAAAATTCCTCGCGTGTAAGCAGTCCTGAAAGATATTTTGGTTTAACAAGATTGTGAGATTAGTGATTAGTGATTAGTGAATCAGTTTATCTTTGATAGTTAGATGTTTTGAATCTTGTTAGGTCGATTTAAGCCATAGATTTGTAAGCTATAGATTTTCAGGTGTCGATAAATACAAGTCTTTTCCTGTCATAATACAAGTCATAAAGACAAGCCATAGAGCTTGTTCACTCACATTTTACTTCTCCCAATCGCCCACGTTTTCCTCGTGTCATCCTTTGTCCAACCGAGAAATTTCCTCAAGCCAAAATGAGGTATGACCTGAATTGAAGCACTTGTTTGTAAGCTATAGATTTGTCGAGCCTGTGAACACCAATATGGTTCGGATACGGTTCCTATATGGTTCCAATATGCTTCCAATATGCTTCGGATACGGTTCCTATATGGTTCCAATATGGTTCCGATATGGTTCCAATATGGTTCCAATATGGTTCGGATACGGTTCCTATATGGTTCCCATATGGTTCGGATACGGTTCCAATATGGTTCCAATATGGTTCGGATACGGTTCCTATATGGTTCGGATATGGTTCCAATATGGTTCGGATACGGTTCCTATATGGTTCCAATATGGTTCGGATACGGTTCCAATATGGTTCCAATATGGTTCGGATACGGTTCCTATATGGTTCCCATATGGTTCGGATACGGTTCCAATATGGTTCCCATATGGTTCGGATACGGTTCCTATATGGTTCGGATACGGTTTCAATATGGTTCCAATATGGTTCGGATACGGTTCCAATATGGTTCCAATACCCAAACTTTTGCCTTACCTTATTCGCGACTTGATTCACCGCAGTCCCCCACGCTCCACTCTTTTGCCCAGTCTCGTGCCACACGAAATCCCCCAAATATTTATCGGGTCGAGTGATGAACAAAGTTGAATAATTCGGCAATCCCGGACGATCGACTCGTCTCTGGAAATAGTTTTGATTTTTTTTTAGAAAAACCCTAAATGTAAACAGTATCGTTACAAAATTGTATTGTCTTTTTGGCTACAATATTATTGCGTACTGTAGTACAAAAACAGTACACAATAACTGTACTACACAATAATATTGTGGTTTACTATTAAATTAAGTTTTGATAGTAAAATGTCGAATCGTTTTAGAACTGTTGATTTAATTTTCATAATAAGCTGTAACAGGCTTACTGCGAGCTTGCTATAGCAATGAGTATCACTTTAACACATTCGCCACAACGCTATTTTGAGCGAACAGTCGGAATTCGGAATGGTTAGACAGGGGCGAAAATTCGACTTCTTTTCCAAAACCGGATCTTCACCCAAAGACGGTCATGTTGCCGATTTGGTGGTATAAGAAAGGAGTGATACACTATTCGCTGCTGAAAAGCAGTCAAAGCATCGATTCGGAGGAGATAACAAATCAAGGAGATGCACTCAAAGTTGCAGGTTGGTGAGCTTGAATTTTCGTGCGACATGAAGGCATGAATTTTCTCGTCATGTAAAAAATGGCATAAAGCATGAAGCATTAAGCATGAATTTTACTATTTACCTTTCCGCTCAGCTCAGATAACATAAAAGTATCTAATCATGAATCTAAAAAGCTAAGTGATTACCGTAAAATCCTGAGTCGACGCGGTGACATATTGATCAAATGATGGTGGCTTTTGAGTGCCCGTGATGACGATCGAGCCGAAATTCCCGCCATTCTCCGGCTCAATTCTTTCTAACTGAAACTTTATGATGTCTATATCTCGCTTTTATATATTAAATATTAATACAATTAATATTAATATTAAATATTAATACAAACGTACTAACGGTTGATGCAAAAGAAATTCCCCGTCGGTATAAAATGTTCTTGGCTGTTCTATTTTTTAATCTGGAAAACTTATTTGATATTTTCTTTTGCATATTTGTATCCTTGGATATTTACTTTATTTATTTATTTATTATTTTATATTTATTATTTTATATTTATATTTATTTTTATTTGCTTTATTTTTATTTTACTTTATTTTTACGCTTTTTCTAAGTCAGAGCTTTCACTTTTTAATTGATATTTGTTTTAGATGATGGTGAATCAAAATTATGTTGTGCGCGTGTTTTTTTTTGAACTAAAAACTTTACAGCATCTCCTTTCATTGATTATCGAAACTTTAAACCTTTCCCCTTCAATGCCTCTTTATCAAATTCATTTCCCGTTAGAGCCGCTAGATTATGGAACTTGCTCCCAAACGACATACGAGAAATTCAGTCGCTTTTCATATTCAAGAAACGTATCGATGCTTTAGATCTAGTGGCTCTTTGCCGTAAGTAATTGGCTTATTGATTTCAGTATGTATTGTATGATTAAGTATCACTGTGCATTTCTCTATGATTTCTTCCTTCTCTTTTTTTATAAAGTATATATTATTTATTTATTTATTATTTTATATTTATTATTTTATATTTATATTTATTTTTATTTGCTTTATTTTTATTTTACTTTATTTTTACGCTTTTTCTAAGTCAGAGCTTTCACTTTTTAATTTATATTTGTTTTAGATGATAGTGAATCAAAATTATGTTGTGCGCGTGTTATTTTTTTTCTAGAATCGTTCAAAAGACGGTTTTCTCCGAGCACGGCTTGGGCGTCTACATGGCAAGTCCTAGTGAGGCAAGAAAGCTTTCGATTTTGGATAATATTGGTTTATCGGTTGGATAATATTGATTTATCCAGTAGAAATTGTTTAAAGTACATCTCAAAACCTTTTTCGAATCAGGACAAAAGTCAGATCTTGATTTTGCTAGCCTAGAAAAGTTTATATCCGCTAAAATTCAGGTTCGGTAAACTTGCCAGTTTAAGAATGCGAATTGCCAGTTTAAGAATGCGAATTGCCAGTTTAAGAATGCGCAAGAGGTCGAGATTTGGGTGGCCGACTACTTTCAATCACAGAATCAAGAGTTCTTCGATAAGTGCATCCGTAATCAGAAGCAACATTGGAGAGATGTCATAGATAACGATGGTGCTTATTATTTAGAATAAATTGTTTGCAATAAATTGTTACCTAAAAGAATTTTGATTTAATTTAATGTTTGTAGAAAACCGAAATTTCTTTTTCATCAACCTAGTATACGTTTGTACTACGATTTAGTACGATGTAGTACGATTTTAGTACGATGTAGTACGATTACGATTTTAGTACGATGTAGTACGATTTAAGCGTTTACCTCAATCTCCAAAGTGTCGGAGAGCTCTTGATAGTTCTGTTGGCCCATCGCTATCTGAACAAATTTGAAACATTCTGTGAAGAACATTTTGTGCAGAAAAGTAGCTCTTTCTTCTGTGAAATCTTATTTGATGCTTTGATTTTGAATATCTCTGATATCAGAGATATTCTGATCTTGAATATCTCTGATATTCAAAATCTCTGATTCTCTTGTCCTTCCTCTAAAGATCGTTTGTGTGATAAAAAGGGACGGTATTCTTTGTAGCCCACTTTGTATTCTTTCTCGTTTGGCTTTGACACACTGAACCAACGATTGTTTCTATTGGGTTTTCCAGTTATGAATGCGCGTTTTTTACTATTTCTCATTATTATTTGTAAATTTCTCAAAATACCGAAATCAAGAAAAAGGTATATATGAGTATTATTCGAAAGCTGAAGATCTCCTCTACATTTTGATATAAAACGTTTTTGAATTTGTTCAGCTTTTGGGCAAATTGACTGCACAGAAGGAGAGGTGGCCAAAAAATGGAAGGGTGCCTTTGGATCAAGCGATGCACCTTCTCTGATCTATGGCCCCAGTCATAAGGGACTTTGAGTAAGTGATGGCGCCGCAGCTATCGCAGCGCAGATAGCCGCACCTATACGCTACATTTCCCCGCGACTAGAAGCCGAGGGATTCAGCGCTGGGCTTTTCCCCGTTCACTCGCCGTTACTAGGGGAATCTTTGTTAATTTCTTTTCCTCCGCTTAGTAATATGCTTAAGTTCAGCGGGTAATCACGACTGATCTGAGGTTTCAACTTCAATGCTTGCACGATGCCCCGTACACCCTACTGGCTATGTGTGCTTTTCAGACAACTGTGTACGAAAAGTGTAGAGCCAGCTCTCGGGACTCAGAGCCAGCCGAGGTGCCTTTAGATCAAGTTTTGGCTCCGCTCAAATTGAGTTAACCGTTTGATGTTTGGCCAATAGATATATCAATACAAACTTTTTTAAAAATATAACAATTTCAGAGCATCTTTACTTTTCTTTTCTTTTCTGGGCGGTTATTTTGCACCATAAAACTTGAGGAATAGCTAAGCTGGAATGGGTTTTTTCGAAAACGACCTCTCCCTTTGTGCAGTCAATTTGCCCAAAAGTTGAACAAGTTCCAAAGCTTTTTATATCAAAATGTAGAGGAGATGTTCAGCTTTCGAATGATATATAACACTCATATATATCTGTTCGATATCTTGAGAAATTTACAAAATAGTAAAAAGGCGCATCCATAACTGGACAACCCAATATTTAATTGATTCTATTTATTTGTATTTTCTCACTAGATTAGTGATTGTGCTATATTCGGAATAAATATCTAAATAAAATAATCATTTTCCCATCGGTACCCTCTCACGCACTGCACACATTCAATGATATCAAAACTGAACTGTTTGAATGAAAACTGATTTGTTTTCATTCAAAACTGATTTGTTTTCATTCAATCAGTCCAGTTTTCTAAAATAGGTGCTACTTCGAAAATGGTTTTAACTGATGGTTTTAACTTTTAACTCTTCAAATATCGTTTTTCACTTACCGCCGTTTTTGCTTGTGTCAACACAGAAACCATGCTGAAGGGTTGAATGAGAAAAACCTCGTTTTCCGTTGACACGCAAATTTGTTGCTCATCCTAGAAAGCTATTATTAAGCTATTAAATTTAGAAATGATTTCTAAACTCGAATTGAAAATTCTTTATATAAACACACCCTTTCTGGCGCACTCAATTCTGTAATTCGGTAATTTAATTGTAAGAAAGCTAAACAATTGAGTCCACCAGAAAGGGGTGAATTTACAAATTTGAGCACAAAGTACACCAACTGACATTAAACTGCTCAAAGGAGACGTCGAGAATCGGCGAGTTAGCAAAACGCTCGATGAACAGAAGGGTACCCTTTTCTGTGTAAAATGCCACCTAAAATTATCGATATTCAGATTTGGTGAAAAGGCTTGGGAAGAGCTGGATCTCCTCTACCTTCTCGTCACGATCGACGCTTTTCTACGACGTTTGAACGCCTGTGTAAAAGCTATTGGAGATCTCTTTGAAAAGGAATAGTTTCTATGAATTGTTATGAGACAATAAAAGTTATTTTTAAGAAAAATCTTTGACCTTTTGAGTTGCTTTTTATACAGAGACTTTTTTATATGTAACGGTAATTTTGGCCCACCCTGTAACCATAGAAAATCGAGTTTTTCAAATGATTCATTCTGTATATTGTTGATTAATTGTTTCTAGTTTATTTTTACGAATAAATTTTCTTGTTGCTCAAAAACGAAATTTCAATGTCGCCAACCTAATAATTGAAACAAATTTTGGCCCACCCTGTAATTTTGGCCCATCCTGTATTATCTTCTTTTCTTTATTGTATTATCTTTATCTCTTTATTGTATTTTCTTTATCTCTTTATCTCACCTGTCCCTCAGTTGTACCCACAGCGATACAGACACAATCGAGGCGCTCACTTTTTCGTGTGCTTCCCAAGCCGAAAGCTGTGGCACAAGTGATCTCTGACTGAAAAAATTGAGCTATTGAAATGTTAGATAAAGCTTTATAAAGTGCTTTTCTAAAACGTGTCGACTTTTGAAATCTACTGTATTCTTCTTTTACTTTTACATTGATTCACTGAGCAAGATTCGATCAAAGCTTAATGTAGCTTTCGAAAGTTGACTCATTATTTTTGTTGTTCTAAGTATTGCAAGTTTGAATATTCGTTATTGGCAACTTACATCATCTTTCAAAAAGCTCGGCGCGCAAAGAAGCGCAATTTCATAGAGAGATGTCGTTGCACTCTTTGTCAACAATGCGAAACGATGTCGATGAACGGCCATGATGAAATCGAGATTCGAGTAGGCTTGGAGATCCACCTGAAATGTTAAAATCTAATGCAAAGTTGAAAGACTATTGTATATAAAGAGCTTTTAATTAGAATGTGTCATAGAATGTGTTTTCTAAAAGGTACCTACCGTAAATACTGTAATAGTACCCCACCCCTATAATGACGGTGCGGAGTGTCGCGTAGTCTAGCTTTGAACGAGTTTTTCTCGGCACTGGTTTAGGCTACAATGCGCGCTTAGGTATCAAAAAATAGCTGAAATTCAGGGCTATTTTTTGATACCAAAGACGCATTTTTTGAAAGTACGGGCGCTTTGCAAAAAATTAAATACGAAAAAACTTTTGCGACTACGCGACTGTACGGGGGAGGGTGGGGTACTATTACAGTATTTACGGTAACTAGTTTAGAAAACTGCCGTAATCCAACCATCAGTTTCCATTCGATAAGCCCAATTTTTGTGTTATTGATCGAGCCTACTGCTCTGCGCGCCTATCGAGCCTACTGCGGAGCACATCGGCGCGAAGTAAGGCAAAAATGCGTTTTCTATCGGATTTTTCTGGGAGTGCCTTTTTTAGATGCGGAAAATTGTGCTGATTCCGAATCTGAAGGAATTTTTCAAATCCCTCCGACAGAAATTTTTAAAATTTAGTTTTAGCGGTTTTTTGGTCATTTTGTATGGGAAATTTTGTGGTATCCTGCAGTTTGGGGCCCGTAACTCGACAACGCGGGTCTAGAACCAAAAACGAAGGGATAAGTTTTATTCTAGAGACTCTTACGAACATGTTGATGCAAAAATCATCAAATTTGCTCAACTCTACAAAAAGTTATAACATCTTTAAAGGACAAAACAATCCGAAAAGGGGTAGCTACAGCTTATCGGTAATTTCTTTTTACTAGTTTGGTTGGATATTCGTTGAACATTTTAAAGTTTTCTTTCAGTTGTACGAAAACAAACTACCGGGGAAGGATGCATAAAGATGAAGCAACTGGAGGCCTTTCTGTCACCAACGAGCACGCTATGTTTTCTTTCAGTTGTACGAAAACCTGCCTGCCATTGAAAGAAAAACAAGAGGTACGTATTGTTTTGTTTAACTTATTGTTTTTTGTTTATATTTTTAGATACGTGACGCCAAAAACGCGTGGCGCCACTGTGGCGCCAAAAACGATCGAATTGCTGGAGTTCCGACGAAGGAAATTATTAAACGACGTGTTCTCGGAGCTCGCTCACACCTATTGCCTTTTCTCAATGCCAAGGGAATTCAACAAATGGCTCGTCGGCAAGTCAAAATCGATGGTGATAGAGATTGGCCTGCTCCGATCACTGGAACTTTTCGTGAGTTGTTATGTCAGCCTCATAAACATTTACATTTAGGTGTTTTATTCTTACGATATGATAACTGCTCAAACTACCCAGCTCCACACGCAAACGCAATTAAATTCTTTGCTACTGATTGGGGAATCGATATGTTACTTTAGGTATATTAAACTCTTTAAACTTTCAACTTTAATAACAAAAGTTAAATACTTTTAGCACTCTATTTGGAGTGTTGATCGCACGTTTCATGCGGCTCCCTTTGGGTTTTCTCAAATTCTAGTGATCGGAGTTGAGATTTTTTTGTTATGTTAGTTTTATAGTTTTGTTTTTAGGTAGAACATCTTTTCGTTCCGTGTGCATATGCATTTCGGTCAAGCAAGTTGACACAAACGTATAGCGACGTCTTTCGCTGTTTTGGCGGCGCTGTTTTGACTAGGTATTGATTCTAGTTCTGTTTAAGTTAAAATTTAAAGTAAAATGTTTCTTTTAGATCGTTTGTGCTTTTATCACGAGAAATCTAAGTTAAAACGTTGCGATTTTTGAAAAAAAATAGCCTAGAAACGTGTTTACCCTATTAACTTTTTTAAGTAAACAGTTTTTAATGTAACTTTGGATTTTTCTTATTTGGATTGGTATTAATCAGATTTTTAATTTTTAGAAAATCGATTTTAACGTTACCACGGATCGTTTTGCGGTAGTTTTCTCAAATAGTTGCCTTTTAGAAACCCCATCAACACAAGGATCAAGTATAATTATTTGCACTAACCTTCCTGAGCCAATCATTCGATCGCATCGCTTTTGGTGCTGTGTCCTCCTACAACTTTTTATAGAGTATTACACTTTTGTATTCACTTTTTCAAACGGATCCCATTCATCAGCTCCAACTGGTTGTTCCGCATCACATCCACGAACTATTTCTTCGCCATTTTCCGAGAGACTTCCGCTTTCCGAGCGCGCGAGACGAGCCTCCCATTTTGCTGCGTGACCTAAAAATTTCTTTTATCTTTTTTAGGGTAGTGAGTTAATGCATCAGTCAATGGAATTACAAATAGATTATGGAAACTACAAATAGATTATGGCAACTAGAGTATTCAACGCCTGTGATTTCTATTTTTAACTTTACCAGGCAGATAGTCTAATCTTTTTGCAATTTTTGCTTTTTTAAAGTTTTCCCCTGAATATTCAATTGATAAATTGTAACTGGGCCACCGTATTCCGATACAAATACCGTAAACTTGCTTATCGGTTAAAGTGCTAGACAAATAAATTGCAGACCATTGTATTTTCTACTGTAATCCATTTTCTATTAGGCGCTTTGAGATGTTAGCAAAAGCGCCAAATTATTTGCGTCGCGTATCATTTGCCAAATGATACGCTAAATTTGCCAAATTTGCGCTTTTCAACACACTTTCCCACCAACTTTGATTGTTTATTTTTATTTTTTACTACTTTTTGCTCGATGCTCGCTACTTTGATGCCTTTGCAGGATCTGAAAATGGCATAAAAGCGATATAGAGAGCAAAAAGCCCAACCGGTGATACAAAAATGACTGTTTTTGAGGTTGTATATGTGTTTAAACGTTTTTTCTAATTGAAAACAATGAGAACTAAAATTGTGAAGCGGAAAATTGGAAAAAAAATTGGTTAGAAGATTTGATTTGTTTGATTGATCTTGATTTTGATTTGATTTGAAAAAAGTGATTTGTTACAGTGATCTTCATAAGCGTAAATTTAGCGCAAATGAAATTGGCGTAAAAAAATGCGGCGCTTTTGCTAGCACCTCCTATTTTTGGACGAGAAGCGGGGGTGGGACAAATGCGACCTTTTTTTTGCTGGAAAAGGCCTTAGGAAGGTCGTAGGGCTTCGAAAATGTTTCCATAGAAGGGAATCGTATGCGTAGATTCAGAATTTTGACAAATCAGACCTCGCTGACACGTTAAATTTGGGCTAAAAGGCAAAAACTACGCAACTTAACGCTTTTCCGCAGTTTTTGCCTTTTAGCCCAAATTTGACGTGTCAGCGAGGTCTGATTTGTCAAAATTCTGAATCTACGCATACGATTCCCTTCTATGAAAACATTTTTGAAGCCCTACGACCTTTCCTAAGGCCTTTTCCAGCAAAAAAAAACGGTGCGCAAATGTCCAGGTGCGCAAAAAAAGGTCGCATTTGTCCCACCCCTCGAGAAGCAAGAAAAGACTGATATACAAATTAGGCCTTAAATGCAACAAATTTTCCCATCTTTGGCTTTTTAAGATCTTGGCTGAATATCTTGTTATAGATTTTCGAAAAATAGCATTTAGAAGTTTAGAAGTAAGTTAGTTTAAGTTCTTACCTAGCACTAAATCATCGGCGAAGAAGTTGTTGAGCCGTTGAATCTCCTCTCGACACAAAAAACCGCTTTCAATTAAACGACACCCGGGCGTGATCATTGTTCATCGTGATTTTTTAGAAAATGGCTGAATTTGCTGAATTCTATTGCTGAATATCGGGCTTTAGACACGAATGTAGTACACCTTTCCCTCAAGAAATTCCTGGAGTTTATAGTCCCAGTCAGCTGATTGCCGGCTACGATCGTCTACCCAGCGTTTAGCAAAGCATTGCACGAGATTTTACTTCCTAAATTTTAAAATTTCTTCAAACTTTGCGTTTTAAATCATTTTTATAAAGTTTTATTCGATTTATTCGTTTTACGCATTTTATACTAATTTTTGTTTGTTCCAGGTACAGAAAAGTGGCCGCCAAGCACATGTTCAACGCGCTGCCGAAGAGTTTACTTCTACGGACATCGTCGTCGATAACACAAGTATTTTTAAGCTATTATTGTTTAAAAAGTAAAGTACATTAGAACCGGGTTAGAAGCGGATGTTGTCATCGATCAAATTAGTAAATTTTATCGTTTTGTTTGACGGTTTTAAATATATACAGTAGTGAAAAAAAATTTGCACCATGCAAAAAAAAAACTGTTTTGGTACTTTGATGGTTGGGAGGGGCCACTTTTATCCTGGTTTAGTTGGATCTAATGTTTTGAGTGGTTGTATTGATACCTTTTATCTAACAAATCTAGGGTAATCAAATATGCTTAATAGATTGGTGACTATTTTAGCAAGTTTTTGGCAATTCTAGCCTAATTCATGTACTTTAACCACAAAATGCTACCTAAAAAGCTGCTTACACTTGAAGATCAAATAAAATATGGCGATATGAAACTTGAAACCTTGTAAATGCTCTAAGAGTATTATTGATTACCCTAGAATAGGTAGATAAAAGGTATCAAATACAACCACTTAAAACATTAGATCCAACTAAGCCATGATAAAAGTGGCCCCTTTAAACCACCAAAGTAGAAAGTAATAAGTTACAGGTGAGTTAGTAACCATTTAATCTTCCCCAATTTTACTCACCAATCCGGTACTTTGGTGGTTTAAAGGGGCCACTTTTATCCTGGTTTAGTTGGATCTAATGTTTTGAGTGGTTGTATTGATACCTTTTATCTACCAATTCTAGGGTAATCAAATATGCTTATACTTTTAGAGCATTTACAACATGTTTCAACTTTCATATTGCCGCTTTTATTTGATTTTCAAGTGTAAGCAGCTTTGAGGTAGCATTGGGTGGTTAAAGTACATGAGATTAGGCTAAAATTTCCAAAAACTTGCTAAAATAATCACTAATCTATTAAGCATATTTGATTACTCTAGAATAGATAAAAGGTATAAATAAAACCACTCAAAACATTAGATCCAACTAAGCCGGGAAAAAAGTGGCCCCTCCCAACCACCAAAGTACCACTTTTTTTGCTAAAATTTTGACAATAATGCATGTGCTGCCAGTTAAAGTTTGTTACAATAGTTTGTTCATGGGCCAGTGTTTTTGAAAAAATGAGAGACACCTTATTCTCAGACTTCACAAATTTTATAAGGAGATTTTGTTAAAAAGAGGGGTGGAAATAAAAATTTGCACCATAACGAAAAGAAGCTTTTTTAGTATTTTGTTGAGCCTTCTTGCACTTTAATGAATTTGTGGCTTTTCAGCATATTTACAACATATTTCTCAAGTTTCAGCACACGAGACAACTTTCAGCTTTGATAAATCTTATCCCAAACGCGAATTGCAATAAGCGAGCAATTATCGTTTTACATAGGTTCCCTAATGTTCAATTGAAGTATAAACGGAAGAGAAAGACTGTATTTGAAGAAGAAAAACATTATTGATGCAAAACGACACAGAAAGACGTCCAAAAGGTACTCGGAAACCTTCACTTTCCAGTTCAACATCGATCCACTTTGGAAGTTTTGGATCGCTATCCTACTGGAATAGCCGTCCAGGCCCCATATTTGTATGAATATAAGTAGACACTTAATCCTTTAATATTGCAGCATATCTAGACCTATCCGTGAATATTTCGTTCCGAGCGAAAAATGGATTCGTAACTTAACTGGCAGCACATGCATTTTGCCAAAATTTTAGCAAAAAAACGTTTTTCGCATGGTGCTATTTTTTCTCCACCACTGTATTGCGTACTTTTTCTGTCATAGACCCTTTAAAAGAAAAAATAAAATCTAACGCTATTAACTAAGAATTAATTTTATTATGGTGGATAGATGCATTTAATGATCTTCTTAGACATGTGTCTCATCAGCGAACATATCAGCCTGTTGTAGCCGGGGGAATCCGCCTTTATTGCAACCAACAGACGCTCAATGGACAAAGAAAAGTGTGTTTTTGTTTAATAAATTACATTTATAGCCTACGTTCTAATTTTTATTGTTTAGACAAACATCAACAACGAGAAATACGAACGAGTGCTGGTTGCCATCAGGCGAAAAAAGATTACTACAAAGTGCTGGGCGTTGAGAAAGCTGCATCCGCAAAAGACATCAAGAAGGCCTACTTTCAGGTAAATATTTATAAATTTTAAAGATATAATTTTCTGAGTTCTAATAAATAGTTTGATTTTTAGATGGCAAAGAAATATCATCCGGATGCCAATAAAACAAAAGAGGCTCAAGAGAAATTTCAAGAAGTTTCCGAAGCATATGAGGTTAGTTATGAAGCAAAAGATTAGCTAAATCAAAGTGCAGTTGGACCTAAATGTAGCAATTAGCTTCTCAATATGTTATCGCTAATAGTTGTTGTTTTAGAAGTAATTTTCCGTAGTGTATTCTCTAGGGACAGCGGGTGGCTGTCGTTATATCAAAGTTCGACGGCGTTAATGCTTTTGTAGAGAAGAGAATATTTAGAAAGTTATTTAGGTGCTATCCGATGATGGGAAACGCCGTGAGTATGATACGTTTGGCACGACTGGTGGTTCTGGTGGAATGGGTGGTCCGCAAGGTAGTTACATTGGCACATTGGCACCAAAGAAAAGTAAAATTTATGTTTAGGTGGTGGTTTTTACAAATATCAAAGCCGCCACATGAGTCCCGAGGATTTATTCCGCGAAGCTTTTGGTTTTGGAAAGGTATTTTCAGATCTATAGCAACTCATGCAAAGTTTATAGGGAAGTGGAATCAATTGGGACTCGTTCGCCGATTCAAATTTTGGGCAAAGTCGTGCTGAAGAGATTGAGGTAAAGTTTTGAATGATTAGTTTAGATTAACAATAAGCATAATTTTTTGTTTTAGCTTCGTCTCACTTTTGAAGAGGCAGCTCGTGGTGTGGCCAAGAATATAGACGTGAATGTGGTGGAAAATTGTCAAAGTTGTGCCGGCACGCAGGTTCAACCTGGGTATAAAAAGGTACGCACAATGAGAGTTGAATGTTAAAGAAAGATTATTGCAAACATGTTTTGAAGTTTACCTATTTAGGTCTCTTGTCCCTATTGCAATGGGACGGGTCTTATTTCGCAACGGGTTCAAAATGGTTTTTACTTCCAACAAAGTTGCAATAGGTATTCACGGAAGCGACTTTATGGAAACAATTTTGCTTTAGGTGTTTCGGAACTGGCGCATACAATAAAAATCCCTGTCATGAGTGCGTTGGAAAGGGGCAAACGGTGCAACGGAGGCGTGTAAGTACTAATATTGCCAATTATTATTAGTAAAACTTGATAAATATCTACTTCTAGGTTCAAGTAAGCGTCCCTGCAGGTGTGCGCAACAAGGAGCAGCTTCAAATGTCGGTTGGAAAGGTGGATTACATTTTTTGAAGCGTTGTATATTTTCTTTAGAATTTCGTCTTGATCTACTGTTCAGTTGAACCGTCCGCGCGCTTTCGACGAGAAAACGATGACATTCACTGTGATGTCGAGATTTCCATTGGACAGGCGGTGCTTGGTGGCACGGTTAAGGTACATTTTTGAGCGTTAAAGATTAATTAATATACAACTCTCAAGACGCAGCTTATTCAGTAGGGTTCAAGGATCAAGAAGAATTATTAGCCAATGCAAAATCATGTTTTGCAAGAAAACTAGCTAGAAAGCACACAAATACGCATTTGCACTTTAAGTTTGTCGAAACTGGGCATAATTCAACAAAAAGTTAGGTTTTTGGTGTTTAATCTCTATTAAAAAAGAAATATTTACATTTTAGGTTCCCGGCATTTACGAAGACACCCATGTACACGTGCCTGCTGGAACAAACTCGCATACAAGAATGAAGTTTGTTTTCATATGTGGTAGTTATAGTTTGTAAAACTCTTAAGCTAACATCACGCTGAGTTCATCAGAATCATAATCGTTTGTAGCTGTATAAAAAGTAAAACAATTATATAATCACATTTTTCTGGTTTAGGTTGTCAGGCAAAGGAATCAAACACTTGAACCAAAGCGGCTATGGTGATCAGTACCTCAACATAAAGATCATGGTGCCAAAGTCAGTTCTTTGAAATAATAACTTCCCGTACACGATTTAAGACACAAATCTTTTTAGGTTTTCAAATGCCGAACAACGGGCAATCATTTCCGCATTTGCACAGACAGAGACGTTACCCAGCGGCACTGTCAAACTTGAGCTTATGGTGAGGCTTTGATTTATTAATCCTATTGATAACTGTTCCTGATTCAAGCATTCACTTTAATTTTAATTTAGAAAGAAATGAAAGAGCCAAAGGTCAAAAGCCAAAAGAAAGAAAAGCCATCTGAAGCTCCGAAAGATGAGCCTCGAAAAAATGAAACCGAGAAAGGTATTTACATTTTTATTTTCTTCAGACACATTCTCTGCAACCTTAGATTACATTAAATAGCTTACTTTATAATCATCTTGTGTAATATCTTTAAAACATCAACCGCTAAAATCTTTTGTTTAGAGCGTCCCGTTGAAACAGCAGAGAATGTGTCCGAAGAAACGAAAGAAAAAGAATCCAGCCTATTTTCTAAACTGAAAAAGTCGCTTTTTGGCTAGGTAGTCAGATTTTTATTATCTCAATGAAATATTTGTATAGAACCACCAACAGAGGCCGCAGGACCACCCAGTGAAGAAAAGAAAGCAGCAAAATCATAGAATTTTCAAACTTGTTAGTCCCCTACTTGTGAAATTGAGCCTATAATAAGCATTGTTATATTTATGCTCAAATTTTTGCACTTCCAGGCCTTTTCTGTTTGTCATCCAACTGTTGTTTTTTGTTTGTAGTTGATAGAAAACGATTAGGTGATTGTTTTAGTGTTTCCTAGGATTCCACGAAGAGTTTTGAGCTATAATCGCGTGTGCTCACTTCTTTTCCATTTAGCCATAGTTTTTCTTGTTGTTGAATCATCTTTTCTCCGCATGATAAAGTTTTTTATTCCATCATATTACATCATCATAACTCATCTCAAAACTATATTTTTATTGTCCATTATTATCCCTTTAACAGAGAACAGTACAAAAAGCGAAAATTTATAAAAATTTTTTGTATCCATTTCACCCATCCTTTCATGTTCGCTCGGAGGTCGAAGATGCCCGAATTTCGTAGTTTTCCTTCTCGCACATCCCCCTGAACCTCAGAGATAACATCGAAAAAAGGCTTTTAAGACTCACTCTGCACCCGATAATTCTCGCTGCACAAAAAGGACCCCTAAAATTTAAAGAATATTTGGCTATTTCCATCTCGCAAAAGACTCACAAAAGAAGGTGAATGCCAAATTCAACAAGAGGAACGCAAAGACGACCACCATCGTCCATTCAAACCAACAGTACCGCACGATTCCGATCTTCTGAAAAGGTTCAAGGTATAAATAAAATGCTGCAAAGATCACCTCCTCTTTGGTGAATGGCTTCCATTGTTCGTATTTCTCACAAATTGGCGGTTGAGCTGTCGAATTCACTCGGAGTCCTTCACCACACTTTGCGACGCAATGCTGAAAGTAAAATATTTACAAGATACTGATTGAAGCTTATGGAAACTTAAATCTAGGCTTTAAAATAATTTAAACTCATTTACCCCACTGATGTCAAGAGCATATCGACACTTCAAACAATGATTTGATCCGCGTCCCGTACATCCATCACACTGCGCATGGCATGGCAAACAGACGCCCAACTGTCGATTGTGGAAGTAAGATCTATATCAAGGCCAACTAATAACAACTTCAGAAAGCTTACTTCTCGTCACACTTCACCAGCAGCCGCTCATCCCATTCATCGCATTTAAATCGCGTTAAATTTTTATCTAAAGAAAAGAGACCATTTTAAATACACAGAATCCAACTACCTGCTTCGTATGCTTTAGCCGAGAAATTGTAAAGTTGGCTGTAGTTTCCGAGGAATTGGGAGAACTGAAAAGAATCGTAGAATAAAACAATTAAAGATTTCGATACCATTTGGCATTTCTTGCACTTCGGGTAGTGTGGACACAAGACGCACCGTCCGATGTGTCGTTCAGTCGTATTCCCGTACACCATGTTCGTCATTCCACTAAAATAAACAAAATGAGACTTGTTTATGATTGTAAAACAGATTAAAAACTTACTCCGGACACTTCTGCACACATTTTCGATCCAAAGTCATTGAAAATCCTTTTTTGCAATATGGACAAGCCTAAAAAGAACATAAATCGTGGCGATAAATAATAAGTGATACCTGCATCAATGTCGGCTTGGCACAATGCTTTAAGCAATCATCTGTGTCACATTGCGGCCAGTACATATCTTTGGTGGCGTTATTGTACCTAAAAGTCTTTGCTAGTTTAAAAAATTAAAACAGCAACTCACTTCTTTTTGAAATAGTCTTCGGCCTCTGAAGTCTTCTTAAAGTAAGACGAATAAACATTCACACCTTCACCACCTGACATCGGATTTTTTGTACCCGTCATTTCGAACGCCAACTAAAAAATTTTGTAATAAAATTTTCAAAAGCAAAAAACCTGCGACAAATTACTAAAACCATCGAAATCATTTCGACTTGCCGTACCCATACATTGTGGCTGAAAATGTAAAAGAAGTTAAAATCAGCAAATCGACTATTTTGAGCTAGACTCAAAACGAACCAGCATTGTGATCGACGTGATTTGCCCGAACGTTTCGCATTTGATACAGTCGCGATCCGTTGGGCCTAAAAAGAACCAGTATTGGCAGGGTAAAAAAGGAAAACAAACCTGTACATGAGTCACATGAGAAATGGCACGGGAGGCATTGGAATGGATAGGCGGCGGTTGGATAAGTGCCATTACTAAAAAGTCAAATCCATTACTTATATGGTAAATTCACTTACGGGCAGACGGTGTAGCATTCCACGACGAGGAAGGTGGCCTGAGGATTGGGACGTCGACGCTCAAACAGACCGACATTGCACTTCTCACAACGGTGATCACTGGAATGTTTATAACATGTATTTCTTTCAAAAAGAGGTACCAACTTTACACATGTTTCGCAGTATGGCGGGCAAGGGTGACAAGTGTGATTTGCTTCCATGTAATACCCTCTGAACATGTCACTGTTACTTAAAAATGTAAGACAACTCACCTCTGACATGGATTCAAACATCGTTGAAAGTGTCGGCCATTTATCAATATCATGCCTCGTTCACACTTTTCACAAAAGCCGGTCTTCTAAAATGAAATAATTAAATTTAATGACAAAATCGCAAACACTATCGCACTGCTCGCATTCTTTCGTCTTAAATTCGCAAGGCAAACATCTCTTTGCATCGTAGTAGGTATTGCTAAATAATTCAACAATTGAAAAGTGTAAAATGAAAAAACTGACATTGGGCAAGAGTTTGTTGCTATTTTCACACAGTGGTTAGAACGACCGCTTGCGACATATCCAACGTGACATTGATCACATACCTAAAATTAGCAGGATTTGTAAATGATGCAAACAAGCTCACCGTTCGACTGCGACAAGTACGACAGTTCTCCGGGCAAATTCCTGTACAATTGATGTCGTGTATTTGTCGGAACATCCCGCTAAACATTTGGATAAAAGTACAAATACCATAAATACTCTAATAGAAGCCTCCCTATAGGAACGTCGCGTAGTTTAAGTTTGCCCTCAAAGAACCGCTCATATCTCGGCACCCAGATATTTGTTTCTGCGCGCTTAGGTATCAAATTAAAGATAGAGAGGATCGGTGATTTTTTTGAGATATAACACATATTTTTAGCATTAACCAGCGTTTAGAACAAAATGATTGAAAAATGATGAAAAATCGGGGCTTCTCGCTACTTTTCAATCATTTTTCTAAGTGCTGGTTAATGCTAAAAATATGTGTTATGTGTCAAAAAAAAACACCCATCCTCTCAACTTTAATTTTACAGCCAAGCGCGCAAAAACAAACGTACCGATGTCGATATATGAGCGTTTGTTTGAGAGTAAACTTAGACCAAGCGACGCTCTTATAGGGGGCCGTTCTATTCGAGTTTTTACGGTAGTTAATCTTTTTTCTTTAAAAAAAATCAAACATCAATCGCTTTTATCCATTTATTCATTCCTTTATTCATTCATTTAAAACTTAGACTACGCAACGCTTATATAAGAGGGGGCGTCTATTGGTATTAATATTAATATAATATTAGTATTAAAATCCTTACTCTGGACATTTCTTGAGCATTTGCTTCGCTTGCTCGATGAGTTCATCTCTGTGTCGATAGATCTGTTCGAGAGTCGCTTTAGATTGGCGCACGCATTCTGTCGTATTGGAGTTGAATCTATCCGGGCGATCACTAAAGAAAAATATAAAGGATTTCAATTTGCATGACTAAAATTTTTCAAATACAATAAAACTTACACAAAAGTCCTGCGGTATCCAAACGGGCATTCCCAGCAAGTATCTTGATTGTAGTAAAGGCACCGTTTACCCATGAATTTAGTCGTGCGCTAAAGATAGATGTAGATGGTTGAGAACAACAAAAATTGACTGACAAAAGCAAAACTGAACAACTAAAAACAACAAAAACTGACCGTGCTAGCGAAGTCGACTTTCTCCTCTTCACAATGTGCCGAATAGTGGATTTCCGAATTGTTGAATGGTGGATTTCCATTGTCGTCCTTTGGCGCCGATCTGTGGATTTTGTAGACGGGAAAGCGAGTCGGCGTACTTTCGGCACTTGGGAAGGATTTCTTTCTTCCAAAGTCATCTGTGCTCTCCCAGCACGATTCGCGAGTCCACCACTGAGGTCTAAAATATACAAATACAAAACGTCGTGTATGATAAAATACTCAAATTTGCTCTAAACAAAAATGCGTGACTCAACGCTTAGCCATTGGCGAGGTTGGATACGCTGGTCCTTTTATGGGTTGGGATTGGGAATACAAAACGTGACCGGCGCCGGGATTCGAGCCCGTGACCTCGCGCTTAACGTGCGAACACCCTACCAATGAGCTACACGTATCCCATTGCCGCCCGACTTTATGCCTTGCTGCTAACAAATCAGGAAACAAGGTAAGTCTCTTACAACTCTAAAAACTTACGATCTATCATCAACGATTGTACCAATCGGATATTTGTCGCAAGTCGTGTTTGAGGTCGGAGAACAATTCTTGTCGAAAATTACATCCGCGCTCGATCCAATTATGCCGTAAATTATTTGTCGTTCATGCTAAAATATAGAATTTAGAGAGGAAATTTAGGTGAGTCAGAAAACGATGATTGAGGTTGGTTATGCAGAGAATGATTGTAAATGGCTTAAAATACTCAAATTTGCGCAGGTCTGAAGCTATCCAAACAAGTTAGTTGTTCATTTTGCACGATCATATAGTTAAATCACTTGTCTAAGAATAGCTAGTGGAGGAAAAAAAGCATGGTGATAGCACAAGTGCTGAGTTTCCTACAATAGAAAGGTTTCTTGCAACAAACATTGCAATTCATTAACTTTAAAACTTTAACGATACACATAACAACTTACAATTCCCTGCGAAACAAGCGGCGGAATGAAAAGAACTAGGAAGAATAAAGAAGCCATCGAAAAGCGAAGCCATTGGGACGAAATAATCGAAGCCATTGGGACGAAACCGATCGATGTGATGAATGAAGGAAAAGAAATGACAAAATTGTTGCACAAAATGGCTCTAACGCTGCACAAGGTTCTAAATGGCTATCAAATGCAAATTCAGCAATGTAAATTTCCAGTTAAGTGTTAATTTAAACAATTGCGCATGTAAATTTGGACTCTATTCGTTCTTCGGGTACAATTTGGAATTCTTGTGATTGTTTAGTTAGATTTTATTGTACCAAATTAAGAATTGAGCATGCCAAATGGTGGTCGTTTACATGAGCACAAAGTACTTGACTTGTTATCGAAGTGCATTCCTCTTTAGCTACCGTCGAACCAGCGACCCTCAGATCAATAGCCTTTCCGCCGCTTTTCGCGATTTTCCTTCGTTTTCCTCGTTTTTTTTGTTTTATCATTTTTTTTGATGTTGTTACAAGGCTTTTTTCAGGAATGTCGTGTCAAGTTGAATCGGAGGTGCACCAGCGACACCTGTTTTTGTATGCATTCAACCGAAAACCCAATGCCGCACAGGCTCATCGAGAGATTACTGACGTTTATGGACCCGATTTCGTGACCGAACGAACTATCCGGAATTGGTTTCAACGATTTCGTGATTGTGATTTCGTGATTTCAACCAGATAGATTCGCCAAAAATACCGTCAAAATACCGCCAAAATTACCGTCAAAATCACCGTCAAAACACCGCCAAAATTACTGTCAAATTACCGTCAAAATTACCGTCAAAATACCGCCAAAATACCGCCAAAATACCGCCAAAATACCGCCAAAATTACCGTCAAATTACCACCAAAATTACCGTCAAAATTACCGTCAAAATACCGCCAAAATTACCGTCAAAACACCGCCAAAATACCGCCAAATTTACCGTCAAATTTACCGTCAAAATTACCGCCAAAATTACCGTCAAAATACCGTCAAAATACCGTCAAAATACCGCCAAAAGTTACCGTCAAACTTGTAGCTAATCTCCGATCATTTGTTAGTCTGAAAATTGTTTGAAACGTTCTACTATTTTATGCTCAAATTTACAGAACACTTTATTTCCTCAACACGGCAAAAAATCCTTTAAACATTGAAAATGCAAATTCTTGAATGTTTAAAGAGTTGTTGAAGTTAGAAAAAGTTTCACTTCACACAAAGAAATTTCTTTATTTCCCTCGAAAAAATACCCAAAAAAACGGCCAAAAACATCTAAAAATTATAAAAAAAAAGCCATATACAGCAAAAAGCCAAAGACAATTTTTGATATGTGCATAAAATATGCAATTTTTTTTGTTAAGTGGAAATCATTTTAGAAGTCAATCATTCTAGAAGTCAATCATTCTAGAAGTCAATCATTCTAGAAGTCAATCATTCTAGAAGTCAATCATTCTAGAAGTCAATCATTCTAGAAGTCAATCATTTTAGAAGTCAATCATTTTAGAAGTCAATCATTTTAATCATTTTAGAAATCATTTTAGATTAGGTAAATTCTTCAAATTCTTCAAATTTTCGCAAAAAACACCTGAATTCGCAATTTCACTACGAGAAAAATGTAAAATTATGGAAAAAATCTCAAAATTTTGGTCCCAATACGATAAAATCGAGTTAAAGTTAAAGTTAAGTTCAAAAAAGTTCAAAAAAGTTCAAAAAAAAGTTAAAGAAAATGACCCGTTCCGGAGTAGGGTAGCGAAAAAAAGATTTTTCTAGATTACGGTAGCTTTTAGCGCGAAATAAACGCTGTCGAGAAGAAATTCGAACGAGGAGACGAGGCGTAGATACTGGAAAATATTGTTTTAATCAAGATATTCAGGGTTTAGATACCCTAAGCCAAAGAAGCCTGTCAAGAGTACTGCACAATGAGTATTTCAAACAGTACTAATATACCGTATTCTCTCTAATAGTAGTGCACCCTGAGCCTTGCATAAATTGCTCGAAATCTCGAGAACCTATCGATGTGGGGTCGGAAAGTGTAGCTGACGAAGAAAACAAGCGTCGAAGTTGACCGGTCAACCTACAGAAGCCGGTCAACTTTAACGGCTTATATCTCGACGTACAAGCATCAGATCGACTAATGGTTGATTTCAAAAGAATCCCCATCAAATTTGGCTAGAAAAAAGTGCAGTTTGTTTTGCCTACTCATCTGTAAGAACATAGAGAAAAATGGTGTCAAAGTAGACTGGTTTTTGCGGTTTTTTCATAGGAAAAACCTGCAGAAGTCGGTCAAATTTGACTCAAATTTGACTTTCTCAACTTCCAGGGATCGGATTGACTAACGGTTAGTTGAAAGTTTGTAGCTGACGATGAGTTCTAGAGTTAGTCGAGACTCGAGAACTCGAGTCTCGTTTTAGACGTTTTAGACGTGCTCGCACTGAGTGCGAGAGGTCGAGGGTTCGAATCCGTGTCCGGTCAGACATTGAGTGCAACTCCGGTGGATCAAAATCGACGCTATGGTCATGAAATCTTGAAAATATACAGAAAATGGCATGAATTTTCATTTCAAAAAGAAATTACTCGTTTTTGTCTACAAATAACAGAAATATGAGCCTAGAACGGGCTATTTAACGGGTTATTTCTGATTGGCTTGTAAACTTCAGTAACCCAAGTCAAATCTACCTAATCAAAGCCACCTGAAGAGACTATTTTCGCGAGGGCGTCGACTGGGCGCTGGGGAGACGAGAGAGAACTTCGGGGTCAACGGGAGGAGTGATGAGGCTGACGAGGGACGAGATGAGAGAATTGACGAGGGACTTCGGCCAGGCATTGAAGCAGCACGAGTGGCTCTGGAAGTTGATTGGGGTTTTCTTGGAATTGTTTAGAATGGAATGGAATGAATGGAATGTAATGGAAAGTAAATCATAAATCCAGAGCCAGGCTGGGGCTAGTTTAAGGTAGGGTTTTGGCTGGCTTTTGGCTGGCTTTTGACTGGCTTTTGACTGGTTTTTGACTGGTTTTTGGCTGGCTTTTGGTCTTTTCTTAAAGTTAAACAAACAAATTCTGCTCTAGTCTGCATATTTCATGTTAAATTCCCTTTCCTTTCCTGCTTTCAAGCAAAGGTAGTCTGATCCGGGCTTTGAAAAAGTTATGAAGCATTTTAGTTATAGTTATAAAACATATGAAGCTTTCTAACGTAAGCAAGGCTACACTACTGGACAATGAAATATCATATTTGAAAATTGATCGTCACTTTCGCGCGTCTGTAACTCCCTTGTCTTTACCGTATTTCTAAATATTAATATTACCATTGTGTAGCCCTTGAAAAGAGCTTTCAGAAAATGTATAACACTAATAGTTTAAACTCAAAGACAAGGGAGTTACAGATGCGCGAAAGTGACGATCGTTTTTCAAATATGATATTTCATTGTCCAGTACTGTATTTTAACCAGGTTCAATTTCAAACCAGGTCCAAAGCTAATAAGTCCGGTTTGAGAGGTTCAAAGCCTCAGACACCTTTTTTCCCATGCTCAGTTCTGACTGGCTCAGTTCTGGCTGGCTTAATTACTTACTATTTTCCATGCTAGCACTTGCTAATCTTGATCTAGCCTAGTGGAAATCGGCTTTGAAACATCTTTGCTTAAGTTGATCAGCTAAAAGAAGTCAAATTGATCTGGTCATTGATGAATTGATGATCATTGATATGAAATGAACCAGATTTGATATGAAATGAAGCAAATTTGATATGAAATGAAGCAAATTTGATATAAAAACTTGACCGATCATTTGATATGTTAAATAACAAAGAAAAAAAAAAGATGGTGCACGTACCCGGTCAAGAAGCGGCTCCTCTTTGAGGTCAAATACGCGGCCTGTGGGGTGTAGCTAGATAGAGAAGGAGATTCACGGAAACTAAAAAAAAAACGATGACAACAGGAAATGAGATGTGATATTCGTAAAATCGTAAAATTCTACCTGGAGACCATTTTCTTCAAATCCTCACAGTAAACATCGGGAATCGGCATATCGCATTGTGGAGTCATCAGCATTTGAACCGAAGTTGTGCCTGGAAAAGACGATATTTTACTATATAGTAGTGTAAATATTATTTTATTAGGTTTTTAAGTGTACCGTAATCACTCTAACAAAAGGAATCCTTAGTTTCTGTTAGTTTAATCCTACTGTTAGTTTCAATTTACTTAATCACCCAGAAAAAAAAAAATTTGCATGTGACCGGAATTGAACCCGAGGGCAAAAACCGCACGACCATTTCGTAAATCTAAGCATTTATCCACTCGGCCGCGAGCTCATCTCTACCGGGCAGCGAAAAAAGAGATTAAAGAGATTAAAGAGATTAAAGAGGTTAAAGAGGTTAAAGAGGTCAGTTTTGAATCCCGATTTTGCATGCTAGATTCCTCGCGTTTCCGTGGCTATTAGCGGCTAATTTTTGTCGCGTTTTGTTCGCCATTGTCGATTCTATGTTCTGCACTGTGTTTCCAGTCGATTCCGAACTTATGAGCTGAGCCGATTCCCTTCTAAGCTAGCTTTCCCCCCCACCTCTCAATTTTTTCTCATAGTCGACCATTTGTTTCCAAAAGCCGACATTTGGACGAACGACCGGCCGGCGACTCTGAAAAGTGGAGAAATTTTTGGGAGTGGGACAAATGCGATCTTTTTTTTGCGCACCTGAACATTTGCGCACCTTTTTTTTGCTGGAAAAGGCCTTAGGAAAGGTCGTAGAGCTTCGAAAATGTTTCCATACTAGGGAATCGTATGCGTAGATTCCGAATTTCGACAAATCAGACCTCGCTGACACGTCAAATTTGGGCTAAAAGGCAAAAACTGCGGAAAAGCGTTAAGTTGCGTAGTTTTTGCCTTTTAGCCCAAATTTGACGTGTCAGCGAGGTCTGATTTGTCAAAATTCGGAATCTACGCATACGATTCCCTTCTATGAAAACATTTTTGAAGCCCTACGACCTTGCCTAAGGCCTTTTCCAGCAAAAAAAGGTGCGCAAATATCCGGGTGCGCAAAAAAGGTCGCATTTGTCCCACTCCCAATAATGTTAAATAAAAATGAAGAATAAACAATTCTATGAACAGTTACAGTACTAGTTCTGTATACTAAACGTTCTTGAAATATTCTAAGACAAATTTCTCAAACAAATTCCTTCTTGATAGTGTACTTTGTGCTAGCGTAAATGCACCTCCTCTCGTGCACTCAATTCATCACTTTTCTAGTCGTAGAAATGAATTCAGGGCGCTGGAAAGCTTGCGTTTACAAATTTGAGTACAAAGTACAGTGAACAAAGTACATTTAACACCTTCCCACTGACCCTAACATGATTGTAGGCTTGTCTGAGAGTCATCTTCTCGTGTTTCATCAAATACACCATGCAAAGTGTTGCACTACGCGACACTCCGGCCATACAATGCACAAGGGTTTTCCCGCCACGGTCCTGGAAACGATTTTATTAGAATTTTTGATAAGTTTGATGGAGTTTGATGAAGTTTAATGAATTTGAAAAAATATTTGATTGAAATTCTTACCGAAACAGTTTTTATCTTGTCAGCCACAGAGTCAAAATAAGCGCTAAGCGGTGCGTAGGGATTGTCATCGACGCGTACCCTCAAGTAATCGACTCCTAGAAATGAAAAGTTGAAATGTTTTTTGGATAACCGATTACAGGCTTGTCCAGCGACTAGGGAAATCTTTAATATTGCATATTTTTCCTTAAATTTTTCCTTTTTCCTATTTTCTTTTTGTCTTTCTTTTAATTTATTTGATTTCTTTGATTTATTTAACTATTTAGTGACGATTTTATTATTATTTTTCTCAAAAAACGTCTCTTTAGCATGGCTAAGATTTCCATGTACCGAGATGCGATCATCAACCTACATCAACCTGGCGTTCTGGCGATCGATATCTCTAACTAGGGAATGTTGTTAACTTATTGTGGCTTTTGACTCGGGAAATAGCCTGCCTGATGCGTGTCTAGGGGTTATTTTTGACGCTGATCACGAAACACATGGTTTTAGCCTAGGTTTCCGCACGGAAAACTAACGAAACGTGAAAACAGCCATTTTTTGGCTCTGCCGCCCTTTACTAAAATAGCTGTAAAAGCTTTTAGAAAAGAGATATCTCAAAACGGTTTTTACCAATCGATCCGTCTTGAATTCAGCTTTAGGATGAGCTATAAAACGTCTAAATTGGACAAATTTAAGGTACTCTCCCAAAAAATCGGAAAGGACTTTTCCATCAACCCAATAAGAAACATATGCAGACTTACCCGTTACATACGGTGCTTGTTCCTCGATCGTCGCGTTCACCACAAAAGAGATGCTTTTCTGAAAATGATTTGGAAATCATCTTCTTTTATAATAGTTGATAGTCAATTATCTTTATCTTTATCTTTATCTATTGGGTTGTCCAGTTATGAATGCGCGTTTTTACTATTTTGTAAGTTTCTCAAGATATCGAACAGATATATATGAGTGTTATATATCATTCGAAAGCTGAACATCTCCTCTACATTTTGATATAAAAAGCTTTGGAATTTGTTCAGCTTTTGGGCAAATTGACTGCACAAAGGGAGAAGTCGTTTTCGAAAAAACCCATTCCAGCTTAGCTATTCCTCAAGTTTTATGGTGTAAAATAACCGCCCAGAAAAGAAAAGATGCTCTGAAATTGTTATATTTTTAAAAAGTTGTATTGATATATCTATTGGCCAAACATCAAACTGTTAACTCAATTTGAGCGGAGCCAAAACTTGATCCAAAGGCACCTTCGCCCGTCCGGGCCCCCCCGCCCAGCTGGCCCCCCGCCCGGCTGGCCCCAGGAGCGCCGCCCTGAGAGCTGGCTCCGAATCCCAAGAGCTGGCTCGCCGCCCGCCCGCTCTGGGGCCAAATTTGTCCATTTTTTGGCCACCTCTTCTTCTGTGCCATCAATTTGCCCAAAAGCTGAACAAATTCAAAAGCTTTTTATATCAAAATGTAGAGGAGATCTTCAGCTTTCGAATAATACTCATATATACCTTTTCCTTGATTTTCTGGATTTCGGTATCTTGAGAAATTTACAAAATAGTAAAAAACGCGCAGTCATAACTGGACAACCCAATAGCTAAATGGATATCTTTATCATATAAGTATTAAAAATTGGATAGAAATTTAGGCTAAACTGGGCTAAACTGGGCTAAACTAGGCTCAATTTGATCTCAATTTTACATATGAAACAGCTCAAGAAGTGCCGTTGCTAAAATAGGTTTTTAAAGTCGATTTGATTGTCGGTAAGATTTGTTAAAACTTAAAAATAGTAAATTTATATAATATCTGTTCGGAAATTCTTCCGGTAAAGTCTATTTTTCTTTAAAATCTATCGATCAATATTCCCTCTTAATCCTCCTTTATTCTCCAAAATCTTTCCGCGATTTCCCCAGACACAAGCTAGCCAAAACATAGACCTTTTCAAAACATTTCCCATTCAACTTTTCAGTATATAAACCCTCCGGTGCTTTAATAAATATTCTGCCTGAACCAAGGGATATGGACACATCCTATCCCGAACAAGATCTCTTTAAGAGTACGTTTGAAACTTTAAAAAACTAACAAAAGCTAACAAAAACTAACAAAAACTAACAAAAACTAACAACAAGTAACAACAACTATTTACAAAAACTAAAAACAAGTAACAACAACTTTTAAGCTATAAACAACTTTAAAACTCTAAACAACTTTAAAACTTTAAACAACTTATCTTATTACTAAAAGAAACCTGTCGAATTTTCTCGGCTCTCACGCATTGTGCACCGGAGAGGAAAAGATGAGGAGAGATTTCAGAGATTTGACCGAAAACACCGACACGGGACATTCTGAGGGAGAGAATTTCTGAAAATGAGAACTTTTTCATAAATCGTAGATGTTTAAAAGTTAAATGAATGAAAGAATGGCATAGATATTCGTGAGAACAAAAATATAAAAACAGAAGCAAACGAAAAGTAGAAAGATTTGATAAAAACTTGAAAAAAGAAAGATTGAAAAGTGGCAAAAAAAAGCCGATTTTTCATCATTTTTTAATCACTTTTTTCTAAGCACTGGTTAATGCCAAAAATAAGTGTTATATCTTAAAAAATCACCCATTTTCTCTACTTTAATTTGATATCTAAACGCGCAGAAACAAATGTCTGGGTGCCGAGATATGAGCGGTTCTTTGAGGGCAAACTTAAACTACGCGACGTTCCTATAGGGAGGCTTCTATTAGAGTATTTATGGATCGACAATGAATCAACAAATGTGATTAGGGTGACGAGATCACATACACAAGATCGACAAGAGATCAAGTTGTTCAAAAGTGAGTGAAAAAGGCAAAAAAAATTCGTTGAGTGAGACAAATGCTTCAATTCTCTATTTTCGGAAAGAAAAAAAGTGTAAAAATGGGATAAAGAGATTAGATTCAACTGGAAAAAGATTAAGTAATTGAAAGAAAAGAAAAAAAACTGATCTGGATGATCTGTTGGTGATTTTTTTAAAATGAATGTCCCGTAAATGCTGTAATAGAGCTCCCCCTTATAGAGGCGTCATGTAGTCTAAGTTTACACTCAAACAAACGCTTATAACTTGACACTAGTAGGTTTGTTTCTCTGTGCTTAGGTATCAAATTAAAGTAGAGAAAATGGGTGATTTTTTAAGATATAACACTTATTTTTAGCATTAACCAGTGCTTAGAAAAAAGTGATTGAAAAGTGGCAAAAAAAGCCGATTTTTCATCATTTTTCAATCACTTTTTTCTAAGCACTGGTTGATGCTAAAAATAAGTGTTATATCTTCAAAAATTACTCATTTTCTCTACTTTAATTTGATACCTAAGCACAAAGAAACAAAGCTACTAGTGCCAAGTTATAAGCGTTTATTTGTGAGTAAACTTCGACTACAAGACGCTCCTATAGGCGCCGTTTTATTAGAGTTTTTTTTACGATAGTTTATCATAGATTGAGCCTTTTTAATTTGAAAATACGAGTTTCATTAAACTAGATCACAAAACAGCGCAAGGAAAACGTGAGTTTTGCGTGGGTATTTTCCTCAGAGAGGGATTAATTTTGGGGAATTGAAGGAGATGGAGAAATTCATTTCCTTTTGATCCCCACATCTCAAAATTGATTCACAAATGCACAAAAATAATCTCTTAAAAGGAAAAAAGAATTTCAGATGAAAAAGAGTAGGCAATTTGAGTGGGAGATATGAAGAAATTGGAGGGGATTCGGGACGTGTCCTTCAAGTGATGAAGATTCCCTTTTGAAGATGAAGAGGAGAATTTTGCTCAGAATCAGATAGGCTATTTCCCGAGTCAAAAAAGCCACGATAAGTTAACAAAATTCCCTAGTAAGAATACGGCTAGAAACAAAAGAAGCCTTTCGACAGAAGATTTCAATATATTGGGTTGGTGAATTGAAAACTGCAGGCTATTGTCATATGTGACAGTTTGAGCACTTTCTTTAAAAGAAACCCATTTCGGCGTCAATGGAAAAGTTGTAGAGAATCAAAAATGAAGCTAATATCTAAATTTTCAGGACGATTCAAAAACTAGTTTTCAAGAAATGCCAAATTTACGAATTTTCACAAATGAAATGGCGGAAAAGGAGGGGGGGTTACGGTATCTGTCTGTCTTTCTGTCTGTCTTTCTGTCTGCCTTTCTGTCCGTCTTTCTGTCGTCTCTGTCGCTTTCTGTGTCTTTCTGTGCTTTCTGGCCGTATTTCTGTCTGCCTTCCTTCCCTCCTTCTCTCCCTCCTCCTTTTTTCCCCTTTTTTTACGAGCATTTTTCCAGCCGATTTTACATCATTTTTTTTTTTGGTTTTCAAGAAATGCCAAATTGTGCCAATTTTTCACAAAACTTGCATTTTAAGCGAAACTACTAAGTGTATCTTTTTGGAAATTTGGCTATAAGCCTAATTTTTGATTCTCTACAACTTTTTTTATTTATTTATTGGATTGGTGAATTGAAAACTGCGGGCTATTGTCAGATGTGACAGTTTGAGCACTTTCTTCAAAAGAAACCCATTTTGATGTCAATGGAAAAAAAGAAAATAGAAAAAGAAAATATAAAAAGAAAAAAAGACTGAAAAAATAAAACACGACGAAAGACTGAAAAATGAAAAATGAAAAATTCTTTGTGGCGGGGCTCTTTATTGCGCCGGGTTACGGTAGTTCCCGACGTTTGGCGCGGAAACGTCTGAAAGGCAAAGTGTACGATAGACGGTTCGAAAGGCATCTGTCGTCAGAATTTTATTATTTCAAGAGAGAATTCCTTTAAATTGATTTAAAGTAAAATGAAATTGAACCCAATTTGTTTAATTACTTTTTTAATTATTATTTTTAATTGATTGGGTTGGTGAATTGAAAACTGCCGGCTATTGTCATATGTGACAGTTTGAGCACTTTCTTCGAAAAGAAACCCATTTTGGTGTCAATGGAAAAGTTGTAGAGAAGCAAAAATGAAGCTTATACCCAAATTTTCAGAACGATTCAAAAACTGGTTTTCAAGAAATGTCAAATTTACACAAAATTGTTAAAGAAGTTAATAAAGAAATAAAGAAAAGTAAGAAAATAGGGTAATTTTTTAGTTTTACTAGTAGTTTAATCTAAAAAAATAAAGTCAATCGTGAAATTTTTGGGGCAAAAGAAAATCTTTTTCTTGGGTGTTCTTCAAGAAGAGAAACTTTGAAAGTAAAGAAAAAGAAAAGAGGAAGGAAAAATAAAAGATATTCAGCTAGAAGACGTCAACCACACACCTTTTTTGAAGGAAAAAAAGTGAGAGAAAGAGGGGAAAGCTTGAGAAATCGAATACCCAGGAAAATATTTTGAATTTTGGCTCATTTCGAAATCTTCTCCTTTTCTGAAGTCAGTTTTTGAATCGTTTTTGAATCGAACCTTTTTTTAGTTTTTATTCAATTTGTCTAATTCTCTATTTCTTCTTTTTAAACTATTACAGAAAAAGAGAATAAATTGGATAAAAATAGAGACAAGGTTACGGTAGATTACGGTAGAAAGAGAACACGTTAGGGAATGAATTAACCGTGAAAAACGATTACGGTAGTTACGATAGTTTTAGGGAAAAGGGCAAGGAAAAAATAAGAAATAGGAAACAATAAAGCAGTTCTAGTATTCTATAGTAAAGTTAGTAAAAAAACAGTTATTATCGATTTAGGACAAGATCCACTTTTCTAGATCCGACCACAATCTAAAGCCAGCCTGGCCTTACCTAGTTATGTTAGTTTTCTCAGGTTGACGCGTCCAGAATTGAGAGTAACATCTCCGAGATTAGGACTAGTTGTCTATAACAGTAGCACAAAATTGGACTAGTTGTCTATAACAGGCTACCGTAGTTCAGGTCCATCTTTAGTTTGTTTAAAGCCTAAACCTAAGCCTACCGAGATCCAGAAAAGGGGGGTTTAGCCCAAACCCAAATAGACTTAGTGCGAGGCGCTAGCCGCTAGCCTTCTCACTAGGTCCAAGCCTAATAAGCCTAAGCCTGAGCCTAAGCCTGAGCCTAAGCCTGAGCCTAAGCCTGAGCCTAAGCCTGAGCCTAAGCCTGAGCCTAAGCCTGAGCCTAAGCCTGAGCCTAAGCCTGAGCCTAAGCCTGAGCCTAAGCCTGAGCCTAAGCCTGAGCCTAAGCCTGAGCCTAAGCCTGAGCCTAAGCCTAATCCAAAAAATAGGGGTTCAGCCCAAACTCAAATAGACTTAGTGCTAGGCGCTAGCCGCTAGCCTACGCACTAAGTCCAAGCCTGAGCCTAAGCCTAAGCCTGAGCCTAAGCCTAAGCCTAGGCCAAGAGATCAACTTTAAAACAGCTTTGTTCAAAGGTAGGCTAAAAATAAAACCTATTGTTTTCGAATCTGACACAAATTGTGCAATAGAAGAAAAAGCAAAAATTGTTGAATGGCAATTAAAGAGGAAAAGAGATGAAAGAATTGAGAGGAGATGAGTAAATGGAGGTCTCTCCGAGAATAGAGGCGAATTATCCGGGAAAATCGACACAAAAAGGGGAATAAGAAAAGGGCTACGGGGGGAAAGAATAAAAAATTTCTGATCCTTTTTTTGCGTTTGTTGAGGGGAAACACACAAGTATGCATCGAATGAGAATGAGAATTGCTCTCGGGGCGAAAAAAAATGGGGAAGTATTGGAGGGAAAGAGGGGGAGGAGAAGGAAATATAGACCTGGATGGGGGGATAAAGGATCCAGGGGTATTCTGGCCTCCGAATGAATTCCGAATGAATTCCGAATGAACTTTTCTCGATTAAAAGTCTATCCCACGATTAGACTTTAAAAGTAAACTGGATTGTGATACTGGAATCAAGATGCTGAACCATTGTTGAAATCTATCGTTGTCCAGAAGCTAGAAGCTAGAAGCTAGAAGCTAACCAGAAGCTAGAAGCTGTTCAGAAGCTAGAAGCTGTCTAGAAGCTAGAAGCTGTTCAAAAGCTAGAAGCTGTTCAAAAGCTAGAAGCTGTCCAGAAGCTAGAAGCTGTCCAGAAGCTGTTCAGAAGCTAGAAGCTGTCTAGAAGCTAGAAGCTGTCCAGAAGCTGTTCAGAAGCTAGAAGCTGTCCAGAAGCTAGAAGCTGTCTAGAAGCTAGAAGCTGTCTAGAAGCTAGAAGCTGTCTAGAAGCTAGAAGCTGTTCAAAAGCTAGAAGCTGTCCAGAAGCTAGAAGCTGTCCAGAAGCTGTTCAGAAGCTAGAAGCTGTCTAGAAGCTAGAAGCTGTCCAGAAGCTGTTCAGAAGCTAGAAGCTGTCCAGAAGCTAGAAGCTGTCTAGAAGCTAGAAGCTGTCTAGAAGCTAGAAGCTGTTCAAAAGCTAGTCCAGAAGCTAGAAGCTGTCCAGAA